GATTAATTATTGTCAAAAAAACCTAGATTTTTGAAAATTTACATATTTAACTAAAATTAAAAAGACGACTTTTTCAAACCCATTTTTTAGTCATTTATTTCTTTAAATGTCAATCCAAAACTACGAGACACAACGGACATTTCGTATCAAATGTATAAACACATTGATACATGCAAAACATCAAAAACTGCATATAGAATATTCATTTTATCTTTCACAAACCGTTATTTACTAACATTTTATCACAAATAAGGAGCTAATATGAATGTCTACAAACAAAAAACTACAGGATATAACTCCTTATGAATAATAAACACCTAAGGCTACCTTAAATTATCTGTCATCTATGTTCGTATAGGGTATATCAAGAAGAAATGGTAATAAGACTAAAATAAACATTGACCAGAACTAAGTACATATCTGATTTTCTGAAATTAGTATTACGTTTTTTAATTCTCAATTTTTTTCAGATTTCCAGTATGCTGTGGCAAATATATCATTGAAAAAAACACTAAATAGATACATAATAAAATAATATGATTAAGTATATGAATTGATCTCTTATATCTGTAAGTAGATATCATACCATTAAATACCGTATGGTCGGAAAAAAACGGCGTCCAGTTGGCTGTGAAATGACGATCGCCGTTTTTTTTTCGATCATACGGTATTAAGAGAGGCTATTTAGAGTGAAAAATATGGGTTATCCTGATAAAAATATCTGGGTTTATTAACCCTTATACACCAGGTACCTGCATATATTTACGTTGCCTTATATTTCGATTCTTTTAGAGCTTTATCAAGCTTCTTTAGACTTCAATCATTTCTAAATAAAATACAGAACATTTAATAATAATTGTTTGAATAATATATTCCCGAAATTACTGTTATAATGTAAAAAAGCGACATTTTCTGACCGCTGAGTCTCTCAGTTGTTTAATTATAATTTCTTATCATTATCGCTAACGCTTTGAACAAATTGTTATTGTTGTAATATTACATCTGAATAAAAACAATGCATAAACTTAATTGCAGTAAAGAGATTATTGAACTGTAACATGATACGGATGAATTAAAAAACAGACATAAAATTGTCTAATTTTAGGATACATGTTTAAAAACAGAAAGTTAGAAGTATATTTTTGTATTATTGTTATTAAACAAGCTAAGAATTATTATATTTATTTAATTTTTGTTATGAAACATGAATGCTGGTTAGATAAATCATAAAATAAGAATGCTTATATTTAAAAAAATAGGGGTATTTAATTTTTTACTGATATTTAAAAATGCCATATGATCAAGAAAATAACTGCCTCAAATTGGCCTGGAAATGACTATGAAATGACTCGATGATATTTACCATATAAAATGACTAATATAAGTATAAAAAATTTCAATTGACATTAATAATACTGTTAATAAGTCTTAATCTACTTTTTGTTTTTAGCATATGTATTATTAATAAAAGCAGTTATTTTCAGCGCACCACAATACATCAAACCTTTCCATTTCCATTTTTTTTTGTAGGAAAAAATCAAATTAATTCTATGACAGTGATTTCGTTTGCAGCACTTCAAAGGCAGAGAGCCCTTTTAGTTGTTTTGTAGGACTAAAAAGTGACTTAATTTCTCCATTGAAGTTGACTATATAGGATAAAAATACCACCTACCTGTTTCATAAACTGTTTTCTATACTGCTCCACAAAATATTTATCTTTTTTTAACTCAAGTGAAAGTCAATGTTGAACCAGAATCATAAATTATTACTAAAAATAAACGTATGCATATCATTATGCATAACCCGATGTATAAGGAACGTTTAGATAAGTTAAATTATCAAATATTTAAATATAATTGATAATAAAAAATATTCTCCATAGAATTCTATGCATCTCAATCAAAATTGAATACATACAGTTTATTTTAAATACACTATATCCACGAAGGGTTTAAATAATATATTAAAATAATACTCACAATATCACCTTGAGTCGAGGAATATGGCCAAGTAATGAAATATTTAATTAGTTAGTTCTAGGCATTCCCAGCCTCGAGCACTATGTTTGAAATGTTCCCTTTCGCCATTGTTATAGTTTTAGGGCCTTAATGTAAACTTACCCTACCTGGATAACAATCCAGGTAGGGCAAGGGTATATTTTAGTTATGAAATTATAAAGCCCACTTTTTGCATGTTTGCTATGAGGGTACCTATTATTTGAAATTCTTGTTAAACGGTAATATAAACATTAATGTAAAACTATAGTTTTTGTAAATACTATAATTAATTGGTGAAAAACTATCGTGGTCATCCGCGTTGAAAACGTAGGAAATCCCATGCAAATTTTGAACTGTCCAAATATTGGCAATTTTATATCAAAGTTGTACATAACTTATCATAGTTATGTTGGCATTTGCCTGGTTTTGCATTGTTACCTATTCAGTTTTAGTTTAAAAATAGATGCTCTTATTATATTAGTTAAAAATGGCTTTCCCAAAATTGTTCAAACTTGGCATGTGTTTTCAGCATACCCAGACCTTTAAAAGAACTATAGACGACTTCGGTGGAAAATCAATAGAGGAGCCAATATTTGAACAGTTCAAAATTTGCATGGGATTTCCTATGTTTCCGATGCACCACCCAGTATAAAGTAACTAAACAAGTAACTAATAGCAAGAATTATTGCGAAAAAAACCCAGATAAATGGAAAAAATCTGAACCAAAAGACCATGTTATTGTTAAATAATTGAATATCATTTATATATCTTATCTTATATTTTTAATGATAAAATATGGGTTAATTATAGATACCTATATGGATGTATAGGTTCGGGATATATCTTTCAACAATATTTTTACTTGTTCTTGTTAGTATAAAAAATATCGTACGTTAATATAGGTATAATGTAGATTATCTATTAATTATTTACATCCAAGTACAAATAATAATTTTTGTAAACTCTGCAGAATTATACCAAAATGTAATAACACTTTAAGGGACACAAACCCTATTGTTATATTATCCATTTCAGGTTTCAAATAAAAAAATGTGCCAAAAATACTTGTAATACATTTTTTTATACTATAATTTTTAATATTTGCAATATAATACAGGGTAATCATTTTAAAAGGTAAAAAAAATAGTTATTGTAATTAAGAATTATCGAGCGATTGGAGGGGAAACTTTGTTTAATTAATCCTTGATGTGTATTTGAGATCATCCGAGAGTAGTTTTTTCTATGATGGTAATGTATGGTAACTTTGTTAGCAACCTAGCCATGAGAAATATATTTCAGAATTTTTGCGACCAATAAATTACTCATTGAACGATAAAACGTTGTGTAGTTCAGAATAATCTCTGATATCTAAATACCTACTTTTGTTTCCTTTTCCTAGAGCAAAATGTTTCATAGTATTTTCACTTCTTTTTTATTTTGGAAAAACTTGGGAAAAACTAGTACAGAGATTAATGAGTAATGAAGTAGGTATATGTAATTAATAGGTTTGAGTTTAAGTAATAATAATCCATAATCATAATAATAATTCAGTTTAAGTAATAATTAAAAAAATATTGACTCATTCGATTGGATGTTTTTCCCTAATGTCTGTTGTAATGATAGGCTGTCCTCAGTGAGAGAGAGAGATAAAAAGTGTGAGTCATATTGAAATTGGCCTGTCGTATCTTTTATAACAGGTACCGGATTTCATAGAAGCATTTCGAAAGTTAAAGAGCCATTTATCACCTTCATTACTGTATTTTTCAATTTTTTTTCAAGAACTTACTATGTAGGTACGTTATTTTAGGAAACATTCTTTATGGCTTTTGTGAGTCACAAAGCTCAAATGCATTCGGTTAATATCAATTAAATCTACATTTTTAAATGATAAATTCTTCGTTTACTCATGTTTCATTAGATGTAATAAGCAGAATCAATTTTTAAGAAACATAAACTCGATAGTTTTGTCAAGATACAAACAGTAGTTTACTTGCGTTGTTACAAGCATCTAAAAGTAAATTAGTTGAAGCGACCTTGATGATTTTTGAAGGTTATTATATTAATTTCACTGTTTTCTAACGCAATGCATTACTGTTGCATCGAATTGTAAATCTAATAGTTCCAATATGTATTTATTAAAAAGTAAATAATTGCTTATGGGAACAATAAAATTTATCCCTTTCATAGCCAAAAGAAATACCTAATATTCCGTTTTCTATAGAAAGTTTAATATTAATAAACACTGAAAATTAACAATGAGTAAACCGTAAAAACCTCCTTTTTACATTAAACGTACAAAACCCATTCAAATGTCAAACAACCAACTAAATTCCATTTTAAACTCTCCTTTTGTTATGTAGCTGGATATTCGCTCTTTCAGTACGTTTGAATCTATTATAAGATTTAATTGAATTATCTCTGTTACAATAAGCCTCTTTTTTTCGAAAATAATGGCCAATCTTAACAAAATTTACATCTGGCCTAAAATAAGCTAGTTTTAAAATAAAAATGATCTCTTTTTTGATTACATTGTATCAGCATCTAAAATCGTTGGTGTTTAAAGATTGAAACACTCATCTTGATATTTATGTGTCATTCAAAAACTATTTAAGTATACATAATTATGTTATTTTGCTTGTAAACACAGCATCTTCAAATCATCTATATATATTTTGTTAAATTTAAATGAATAGAATACAAAAAACATTTCTTATCTCTTGGTTGTTATACGCGTTGATAAAACACAAATATTATCCAAATTTTCCTAACAAATGTTATAAATGATTTTACGTAAAACTCAAACAGATAAAAGTTTTGAAAAATTAGCTACCAAAATAAACATGACATGATCTTATAGAAAATTATTATAGGTATATATTCGCCCAATATTCATTTTCAAGGAATTTGAAATTGAACAGTACCTACTGTAATTAATTAGATTTAGTAAATAAATCCATCTATATATATATAGTGCTGTATGGGGCTCAAAATGAAACAAAGATGTCCACTTATGTTTTAATAATTAATACATTGATATCACAAATCTTTTTGGCTCTCAGAACACACATCCTATCAGCAACAGTTTAAATTTACTAAATAAACCATGTATTAGTTGCCAATCACACATTTCTCAAGCACACATCACATTTTGATTGAAAATGTCTTTATCTAAAATTGTATAATACATACAACACAGATCTTGGATAAAATGTTCTAATATATACAGTAAGAGCTCACATGTATTAGTTTGGAATCATTAGGAGAGTGTCTTAATTGCATGGCATTGTCTGAAGCTTAAGAGTACTAATTTAAAGTAAGGTCTCCAAGGGAGACCAAAGCCTCTTGACATATTTCTGGGTTTAGGCCGAAATCAGTACCAGTTCTAGTCAGATAATAAATTGATTGATTCTTTGTTTGAGGCACTATCATTATTTTATCATAGATATGACTCAGTTTTAAAAAACTAGTAAATACATAATATAGTGTACCTACTTTCTTTAATTAACAGGTTTATTCAATGTATAAAAATATATTAGGCAGATCTTAGCCATGTTAGAGTACTAAAAATGAGCATTTACATACAAATCGAAAAAATACAGTCCACAGGGCTTACTGTAGTACACATTTGAGTCAGCACTAGTAACACTAAGAGAGTTGTGTACATTCAGCATTTGTTCCCACAAAAATTAAAAATGAGGCCTTACAGTACAGTACAACAGCAATAACTTTTCTTCTCTTTCTCTGGACTGAAATTCATTTCTCGTACTATCTCAGCAAACACTTCATTGACATTGGTCCTGTTCTTTGCACTGGCTTCAATAAATGGACAGCCCCACACTTGGGACAGGGATTTTCCTTCTTCAAAGTCCACCTCTCTTTGATGTTCAAGATCAACTTTGTTAGCAACTAAAAGGATAGGAACTCTTTCAGTGCCTTTGACCCTCGTAATTAGTTCCTTCATAGGACGGATATCCTGGAAGGTTTGGTGATTTGTCAAACTATATACAACAACAAACCCTTGTCCATTCTTTATGTAAAGGTCCCGCATACTTGCAAACTGTTCAGTACCCGCCGTATCCAAAATCTCGAGAACACAAGGCGAATTGTCCACCTCGATTTCCTTCCGATAAAAATCTTCAATCGTGGGGTCATATTTTTCCATAAAACATCCGGATACGAACTGTACAGTTAAAGCACTTTTCCCAACCCCACCCGAGCCGAGGACAACTACTTTAAATTCACGCATTGTTCTAGCTTCTTAAGACTTACAAAAACACTCCGTTATACTAGTTATTGCACAGTAAAAACACAACTTTGCAACTGTTATCACTTGGTAAAAAGTCTGTTGTCACATTTCTGCAATCCATTTCAATAAACTACACATATTTCGCCATCTTAACGGAACAACGGACAATTCATCTCGTAGCAGTGTTTTCATAAGCGTAGAGCCACGAGGACTCCTCGGATTTCAGAGGTGGGGAGAGCGACAGATGAATATAACTGACTGACTGACTGTCCCTGTGTCTTTTTAACTTGCGCGACCTGCGCAGTCCATTTTCTTAAAACGATGAAAAAAAACTACATTATTTTATATTTAGTAATTTAAGTGCAATATTATAGAAGTATTCTGAATAATTTAAATAATGTACCGTTTTGTTATAATTTTATAATACATAGAAATCAAATAACAGAAATTATTTGTCTAACAGCTTTATACTTCGAGTTACTATTAATAGATGTCACTGGCTGGACTTTTCCCACCCTTTTTTATTTTTTAATCAACTAGTGATGAAAATTTTTAATTTTCAAAAATGTTTTACATCGGTTTTTATTGCGACATGCAAATGTAAATTTTATCAAATATTCATATTTAAATAACAAATTTTGAACCAAATTATGATATGACACTTCTTACAAAGTAAACAATGCTTTAGCAATAATTAGCTTTGATAAGAAACACAGAAAACAAGAGCTGCTTTTTTTTTCATAATACGACCGTATTAAAAAACGCACGTTTTCAGAAAGATGGTCATTTTTAGAAAACTTCTAAATAAATTTCCTTCAAATATAAATTTTATACGGGTAAGTTAATTACTTGAATGGAAATATGTTTTAAAACTCAATTTTTAGAACAAATCTTATATTAGGATAGTAGAAGTTGGCCCTCGGGATGGATTACAGAATGAACCCATCAATATTCCAACAAACATTAAAATTGAGTTAATTAACAGACTTTCAGAAACGGGTCTCAAAAACATAGAAGTTACAAGGTAGGTGGTTATCTATGCATACCAAGGCATAAGTAGGAACTATACATAGCGGTTGTAGTTTTGTAAGCCCTAAGTGGGTACCTCAGATGGCTGACAATGAAGAAGTGTTTAAAGGAATTGTAAAAAAAGATGATATCTCATATCCAGTATTAGTACCAAATTTAATAGGCTTAAATTCTGCAGTAAGTAACCTAAATACTGTTTTTAATTCAAGTAATAGTAGCTGTAGCGATATATTATTAATAATTGAAGGTGATATTTGTTATAGGAACATTTTTATATCAATACAAAAATTTGTATTCCAAAAAACCTGAATTTGTTATCATTAATAATTAATTGATTCAATAAATCTCTATCCATCTCGGCGACACTGACGCGACAACTTTAGGCGGTGTTGCCTGTTGTTTTCGTTTTATCTTTTAAATAAATTTATTAAATACACTGAAATATTTCAAACAGCGTTTTTATTAAACTGTTTTTTGTGAATGCTTGGTTGCATAAACTACAAGTGATTAAAAATATATTCCATATTTTTATTTATAGACCTCGTTTATTAAATAAGCAATATATACAGAATACGTAGAAACACATTATATAAAATATATTAATATAGTATAATATGTAAATTGGTCATATATCTTATTTTAGCTTGATGCTGGTGTAAAAGAAATTGCTGTCTTTTTATCAGCATCCGAAGGGTTTTCAAAGAAAAATACAAACTGTTCTATCGAAGAAGGAATTTCTCGAGTAAAACCCGTAATTAGTAAAGCCTTAGAAAATAAAATAAAAGTAAGGGGCTACGTTTCTTGTATAGTAGGCTGTCCTTACGATGGCCATATAAAACCTTCAGCAGTGAGCAAAGTTGTAGAAGCGTTATTATCTCTAGGCTGCTATGAAATTTCGCTCGGCGATACTATAGGAATTGGAACAAAAATAACAATAGAAAATATGCTGTATGACTTGCTGAGCTTTACTACTCCAGATAAATTAGCTATCCACTGCCATGATACTTACGGCCAAGGACTAGTTAATATTTATACAGCAATAGAGAGAGGAATTACAGTTGTAGATGCTTCTGTTGCTGGTCTTGGAGGTTGTCCCTATGCAAAAGGAGCTACTGGTAATGTGTCTACAGAAGATTTAGTATACATGCTACACGGGTTAGGTGCTGAAACGGGAGTTAACTTGGATAAACTTATACGTACTGGAAGATATATATCTGACTTCCTAGGTCGACCACCAGTATCCAAAGTTAATAATGCGTTATATTCAAGATTAACTTAGCTCTGTTGTACTTATCAAATTCAACAAGATATCTACGATAATACCTTTTAGTTGGCAAAATAACGTATAACTAAAATAACTGTTATTTTGTATCTTAATAAGTATAACTGTTATCTGTATAAGTCTATAGTATCTGTTATTAAATATTAAATTATAAGTGTTATTATGTTACTGTTATTTGTGTAAGTTTAGTAACATGTGAAAAGTTCATCCTAAACATATATTAATCAAGTATTTTTGCTGTAAGTTAACATATAAGTAGTAATTTATTATCTATTATTATATACATATTAACTATGAAAGCATTAGTATATGAGATCACAATAATTTCTAAACTGCAACTTAAATAAATCTTGAATGCTAGCATTTCTTTTATTTTCCAATTCTTCGTCATATTCTTTTAATTGTATTTTATTGAAAGTATTGCATTTTTTTGTCAATACACGAAAAAGGAAATTTAAAAAGTCAGAGGCTTAAAGCAAAAGTAGTTATGCTTAGAGAGCTGCTGTTGAGGTAATTATACTAATTGAGTAGATTTAAATTTGAAGAATTTATTATCTAACTTGCTAGTTATTGAATTTAACACTAATTGCTGTGACTTTTCAAATTTACCACAATCTTCTTAAAATTAGTCAGTATTTTAGGATATGTTTACAAGCTGGCAACATGGCTATATTATGACCTGTAGTAAGACATTCTTAACGTATCTGTCTTGTTCTAACTTCTGCAAACGGTGTATTATCGTACTCTTTCTAAACAGATATACGTACTATGAGAAAACTATAAAAGATCCGACATCAGTTGACGTTCTTGTTTTTTAAAAATGGACGCTGGACGTCAGGAAAAGAGTGTATTTTGCAGGATTTATCGTTTTAATGGTCACGAATTAAACCCTGGAGATATTTAATCAATCCATAGTGATGGACTTATTGTTTATTTCGATGTGAAAGCTGGAGAATTTAAAGAGAGGTATGTTCATATTGCATAATTGTATAAAAATCAATGTGAACCGATAATGTTATTGCTGCCCTGGACGTCAGCGGTCTTCCAAAATGTACTCGTTCAAATTTAATTACATGCCTTGTTTTGTAGTAACAACATGAAGATAAATGCTATAAGAATGAGTACCCCAATAGAAGAGAAGGTTGATCAAAAACTCAAAGTGAGAACAGGAATGGTAACTGTTAGTGATGGAAAAAGTAGACCAACTCCAGTTCAGTTGCATTTATCAATGGAAGTTTTGAGGCTCCAAAAAGAGGAACCTGTTCCAATAGAATCCAAACCTCTAAATTCAAAGGTATTATTTTATTTAATTTTTTTTTTCGCTTTATTTAATGAGATTGTCATTCAGCATTTCGTCCCCTTAGATTAGAACTAGTCTATGTCCATATTCTTCAAAGTTGAAATTATCAGGCAAAACTATCTAATAAATCCTTGTGGATTGAATACAGAACTAATCTAAGTCCTGTCGAGGTATTACATAGAGATTATTAGATAGTTTTACCTGTTAATCTCAATTTTGAACAAAATGGACATAGACTAGTTCTTATCTAAGGGGATGATTAATGAAATATAAGACTTGTTAATTTTTGGATGGAATTGATATTTTAGGAGAGGATGGTGCAGATCAGGAGACAGAAAGTTGGTGGATTAGGATTGAGTATTAAGGGAGGCGCGGAACATAAACTTCCTATATTAATCTCTAGAATTTATAAGAATCAAGCTGCAGATCAGACAGCAGAGCTATTTGTTGGAGATGCAATAATCAAAGGTAAGATGTGTAATATCCGTATTTTTTTTTTTTACTTGATACTTTTTTTATATATATTATTTTTATATTTTCAGGACTCTTACTTTATTATTTGAAATCAAAATTTGTTGATTAATAAATTTATTAAGTAATAATTAGGTATTGTAGATTTATTTTCAACAATTGAATACATTTTGGAGTAATTTATTATTCTAAGGTATTCAATTTGTGTGTAGCTTATAATTATCTGATCAACAAGTTTTAGTATCAAGTGTTGTGCTTTGTATGATTTTTTAACACTCAGTATCAAACCCCCTTGATCATATGCTACATTACTTTATACCACATGTATTTGCTTTTAATAAATTGATAAAATATCAAAGCAAAATACTATGATTTTTTTTCTGGAATTACAAATTTATTTGTAGTAAATGGAGAATATATAACAGCATGTATCCATGATGATGCTGTCAACATATTAAGAAATGCTGGAGATTTGGTTGTTTTAACTGTCAAACACTACAAGGCTGCAACACCTTTCCTTCAAAAACAGGGTAAATATAATATTGGTGTAAATGAAGAGCTAGAACATTTAGGTGTTGTATGTAGGTTTTAAATTAGGGAGCGTGTTATACAATATTTCCTTTGGTGTTTTTCTACAAAATTTGATTATACTATTAGGTGAACTAGTATCACAATACATATTGGCGTTTTATTTTCAATACACTAAAATGTTGACATTTGGTGTGTGTATGTCATTAATCATACCTTATTTAGGTTGTTCAAACAGCAACTCCATTCGCAATGTTTTACCACACTTTTATTATAAAAGTGTATTTTTAAAATATGTCAAAATCTGCAACAATTGTTCTGTATATTAAAATTCATGAATAGATGTAAAATTATTTAGTATCGATGGAATGAAAATGTTTCAAATACTTGTCTTTACTAGTCTTAATAAAAATAGTAGTTACTAGTATTAATAAAAAGTTGAATTTAAATTAATAGTTAAAATAGTAAAGTAGTAAAAAATTGAGTTTTTTATTAATCCAACGTATTTATACCCAAAATACAAATTTTGAAAAATCTCACATGAGATTAGGGGTGGGAGGAAGTGATGGAGACAAATCTCATGACATCTGCCTTAATTTTTGCCCCCTAAGCAACAGTTTTTTTATTATTTTATTAGGATCTTTATAGGTACAAATAAAATATTACTGATATGTTCCAGATGATAAGGATTCCCAGCAAACTGACAGCAACAGTGAAAAAGAAGCGTCAGATGACAGTTTTCGCATACCTTCAAATAGCACTAATAGTAGACCAAGTTCCATATGTTCCGAGATGGATCAAGAAATAGTTCAGACTCATTGGGTTGACATTATCACAGTGCCTTTAATGATGGCATATGTAACTAGGTATATTTTTGGCACTGACAAATTAAGACCAAACTCGTTCGAAGTTCGAGGCTTGAATGGAGTCAGTACAGGTATAATTCATTGTGACGACTCAGCCATTTTGTCTCAGTGGCTAAAGTTTATCAATGATAATATTATTGGGTTAACAAATTTACAGGTAAGTTTACAGACATTACAAAAAAATTATATATTTTTTTTTATGATTCTATTCAGTTGAAGGGTTTATATTTAATTAAATTAAAACATTTGAAAAGTAGAGTTCAAAATGTTTCAGAAAATTGACTGCAACTTTAAACAATGATTGCTTTTGTCAATGTTTTTATTATATTGATGTGATTTTTAATATTGTAATTAACTGATTTAATTTTAGGTTAAATTATACAACAGAAATTTTACTGTATCAGATAGAATAGAATATATGGGCTGGGTAAACGAATGTGTTTTAAACAACAATCAGCCTTGGCAAAACTACAAACCAAGATTTCTAGCTCTGAAGGGAACTGATCTTATGTTATTTGATTCTCCTCCAGTAAGTACTAATAAAATCAAATATTTTAAGATATAATTTTCCCATTATATCAATCTTATTTAATTTGAGATAATTTTTATATGCCTTTTAATTTCTTCTAGTTGAGTCTTACTGATTGGGGTAAATGCACGCTGACTTTTAAAGTTTATCAAACAATGTTTCGAATAGTGAAAGAATCTGAAAATGTTGATGAACGGCAACATTGTTTCCTTGTTCAAACTTCTGGCCAGGAATCCCGGTATTTTTCAGTTGAAACAAGGCAAGAATTGCTGAGGATTGAAAACGCTTGGCATTGTTCCGTTTGCACTGCTGTAATGAAATTGGGTGTAAGTTAAATTATGTTGTCCATTTATTTATACCTATTTGGACACATAGGAAATAAAAGTTTGTTTCTTTAGATAAATGAAAACAGGTAAATTTATTTTTTACAAATATTAAGTATTTTTTTAGACAAAGACATTTACTGTTAGCAGTAATGGAAAAACCGCTAGTTTGACACTTGACTGGAACTTGGGATTTTCATTACACGAAGGAGATTCCAAAGTTCCAATTTGGCTGTATAAATTTTCTCAATTAAGAGGTTCCTCAGATGATGGAAAGTCAAAACTCAAGCTGCATTTTCAAGACTTAGAAACAAAAGTTATTGAAACCAGGGTGAGTTATTTCTAAACATTCGCGAAGGGCGACAATAGGTTTCCAACCAAAAAAACAAATTCTTTTAAATAACTTTACACGTTGCTAACTTTAAAAGATGCATGTACATTTATCTGTAGTTGCTGAAATTAAAAAATACTTCTTTTTTATCAAACTTTTGCATTCTAATTTTGGAATTTTTCCCCAATTTTCTTGTGTCCTGTGTTCCATGAGTGTTGGCAAATGTTACTTTTTAAAAGCTATTCTTTTTTAATGCGATTAGGAATTGGAATGTACAATACTGCAGAGTTTGCTGTACTGTATGCACGCCTTTTTAACAGCCAAGGTGGCGTCGGTGGATCCAGGATTCCTCTGTTCAACACAACCATAAACTAGAACTGACACAGATAGTATTGTTAGCATAGAACAATAATGTTGAGACTAGATAATTCTGAGTAGTATATTGTTAAGGGATAATTTTGTTAAATGGGAATATAACACTATACCACTGTATAATTGGTGTGAAAGTTAATTGTCACCATTTCACTCTTATTGTCTTCTTGGGCAAGTGAAGTTAATTTCAACTTAAACTTTATACTAAAGAATGATCTTAGAAAATTACGCTTAAATTTTGATATTATTCTTCAACACAGGTTTGTGTCTTTTTGTAATGTTGATAATTTTAAAAGTCAGTATAACTTTGACAGTATGGACAGATCAAATTATCCAGTCTAATTTTAGATGATCTCACTCTAATATTTCCTTAACTTGGGACGTATTTCTGGTAGACTTGTAAGTTTAATAATTATATAATAATACTTACAATTGTATTATAATTTGTAATTGTAAGTTGTCCCATTTTGTGAACTCTTCTTTCAAATCCAAAATGTTGAAATTATACTGTATATTGGAATTTTTGTACCCTAATGATGTTATATGTTATGTATATTCTATTATAATTAGGTACCCTTGTCATTCTACTTCCTGTCTGTCCCAAATTTGTTATCTTTATAGAAACTTTCTACAGGGTGTGCCAAAAAGTTCTCAACAAATGGGTTATTTTTTTTTCAATAACCATATATTTCAACTTTTTGGACACCTTGTACATAATATATGACATAATTTTATAGTTCAGAATTTTATTTTTCTAGGGGAAGCTTTATTATATTTTTAACAAATTTGTAAGTATACCTTTTTATTGATGATATTTTAAGGTTTAAAAACAAATGTTTATTAATTTATTACAAACTTATCTCAGTTTTGTGTTATAGCGTCTAAAATCAAGTATATACTGCAATTTAGTAGGTTGAATGTAAACTCTGAGGTTGATTTTTGATGAACGAAGTATTATAGGTATCCTACAGTAATCCAGTACTATACGTATACATTTTGAAAATGTAGAAGTATTTTAAATAACTATAGTAACTCTAAATAATTCATTACAGCTTATTTCAGTATACGAGTCCAATCATAATTATTTAATTCCTTCCATAAAACAAAATCACGGTAACTTCCACTAAAGTTTAATATGGTTATATATTTAGTTTAGAAGTTACTCTTGAACAGAAATAGAAAGTGGTGAGAAAAATGCCCTCAAACTTTAATTATGAAGAAATCACTCTGACGCTATATAATAATATAAAGAATACAAAATATTAATTCGCTAAGTATGACATACATACTTCATATATGTATTTAATGTACAGATAGGAAACCAGACATTGTCATTCCAATAGTCCAGTAATGTGTAGGAAATTATAAACTTTAATATTCATCCAATACACCTTAATGTGTATTCAACATTCTCATCTACATATCATACTCCTTGTAAAAATAATGGATAGTCAATCTTTTCAATTATATCAAATTCTAATTAGCAATAAGTACAATTAGCAAACGATATTTATATATTTTAAATTGTTACCAAAGAAAACGTATATTATATTTTATATGAACATTTAGTTATTCATTTAGTTTCTATGTTGAAGCCGTTATATTTGCCTATATTTATATCTGGTTGATTATATATTTTATTAGGTAACGTTAAGATTTTGCTTGCCATAAAATGAAATTTGGTTCATTTTCTGAATGGTGAAGCTGATCCAAATCCTTTAAACTGATTCAGTACATCATAATAGCTGTTTGACATTGATCATAAGCATGACTCATTTAATCTTTTAAATTAGCAAGATATATACAAGGTGCCACAACTATCAATAGTTCAAATGATCTTAGTCTTAAATGTTTAGTAGTTTATAGGGTGTTTAAATTTTTTTGTAGCCGTCTTTTATATTTTTTCTGTATGTAACTCTTTTCAATGCACTTTCTTAAGATAACTTTGATAATAATCTGCCAGGTAGTTCCGTAAATGACTTGATCACTAGTATATCTGCGGTTATCTATAGATAATTAGGTAATATGATTATTAATATTAACTACAACTATATTTAGTCTATGGTTAAAGGTATTTAAGTGTGATGAACAAGAATTTATCCCCTAACTAAAAAAAAGTAATATACATATTGATTTGTCTAAGCTGCCGCAACATCCGTTTCAATAGTTCTGTTCACTTTTGTTCTCGTTTAAACTCATAGTAACCAATTGATGCTCGGTATGGTTGTATGTAGTTAATATTTATGGCTAATATGCATTTTCTAGATTAGATGCACTTAATATACAAGAGCTAAGGGTCATTTACTTTGAATTATTTTATCATTATATTTGGTACCCCTATATGCTGGGATGAAAAAAATGAAAACTTTCGTATTGAAAGTCGTGTTTATTGCTAGTTATGGGAGAAAATGATTTGATCTCACGGGTTCAAAATTACTAACAAAATATCTGTGATATTAGTATTAGGGTATTTATTTCTTTTAAACGATTAGTTAAATTATATTTATTATGTTATTCTGTTTTTTTTTTTTTAAGATTATTATCAGCACAATAACTATGTGTCAGCAGGAACTACCGGCGTTTTTTATTCTCAATATTCACAGAAACTTAGGACTTTTTGAATTTACTCAAGGCGGACTTTTTACGTGAATATTATTAACATAAAAAAATTATACTTTAGAAAATGGGTAACAAATAATAGAAAGAAAATAGAAAAAAAATAAGTTCAATGAATTAATTTTAATTGAAACATAAAAATGTTCGAACTGCGATTTATTGAACTTGATTTTCTCTAATTTTTTGAAGTATAAATACATTTGTTAAAAAGAATGAAAATTACTTTAATTTTTAAGGGAAATTATTTCCAATATATGCAGGGCCATTCATGCAATTTGTTTTCCTTGTCCTATATTAGTGGTCAAACCAATTTACCGATTGTTTAGTTATTAATGAATTAATGATCTCATTATGTGAATAGATACTCTTAGTTTCGTGGCACTTTTTATATATGTTGAGATTTTACATAATACAACCTTTAAACATATTTCTTATTATTCCTTAACTATAAGGACATAATATACAATTTGTAATGTTTAATTGTTAATAGTTGACATGATAATTAGTTGTAAATTATAGATACAGGAGATCTGAGATTAATTATTGATTGACCGACTTGATTATAATGTAACAACTTCTATAACAAATTTAACGTGTATTTGAAGATTGATCTCAGATTTCGCTGTATATGTAATTTGTTTTTTGATGCTTGGCTTAGTTGTGTTGTACTTTCTAAGCTATTAAAGAATTAAACTAAGTACAAGGAAAGTTGTTCAATGTACTTGGTCTCTTATATGAAACTGGTTATGATTTAGATTGTTTGCATTTACTGAAATGGTTGTGATTTGTAAATTAATTTAGATAATTATATTAAAGTTAGGAAAGTGACAAGGGTATATTCAATATATGTACTTCTGAGTGTAGAAAAAATAACTGGTTGATGTTTATTCATTTTCACTAATATTAGTGAATCAAAATTACTCAGACATGTTAATGTACTCTTGCTGCACTGACTCTCCTATTTTGACCAAATAGAATAATTATTTATTATTAATGTTACAAAAAAGTTAATAATCGTTGACAATATAAATAAATTTATTTAGCGCCCCTATCATAATTTTCTTACCTTTGTTTTATTTCCGACATTCTGCAATCTTAAGATATTGCTAATTTAATTCCTTTTTCATGTTGTATCTATTATGGCATGGCGCCATCTATTATGGCATGGCCTAATGGCGACTATATTAGCATGAGTTTATAATCATCTGCTGATGATGCTAACATGGTTAACGAAACGCGCGTCCAGTATAAAAGTAAAAGTGTTTTGGTGTATTGTGGTGATTTAGTGTTTTTATTTTGCTGTGTAACACCTAAGGTTCCAACCCTCAACTGTAACGGTACGATATGATCAAAGTTTAGTAATCAAGTGTGATGCTGATGGAGATAAACATTATTACATTAAATTATTAATATCATGATCAAAGCCAGCTTGATCATAAACTTTTTGATCGCACTATACAATATGATCAAACGTGCTTTTTATGAGACACTCAGTTTTATGTGAAATTACATTGGAATTTTTTAACTGTCTGCAGTAAGCCAGATTGATCATCATAGATGAACAAACAAGTCACAAAACATACAGGGTGTCCCAGAAATAAAGTATTTTAAGGGGTGGTAGATCTCGATAAAAGAAACATATTTCCTCTTTATCGTTTTTAAAATAAGTCCAAAATAACGGAGTTTTTTACTTTAAAAATTTCCAAAAAAAAATGTTTTTTGCTAAAATTTTGAGAACCACTTTTCTGGATTTTCTTTCTTGTAAATTTAAACAACTAAAAAAAACATTCAAAAAATTTCGAATTTTCCAAAAAAAAAATTTGAATAAAAAACGGCGTGTTTCTGGGGTTGAACTATATTACCAGTTAAAATACTTGCACTTATTTCTGGGACACCCTGTATAAACAAGTTCTGTGTACTGTGTTGATCATAAAGCTTTCTGGTCATGCGTAAAAAAAAGAACATTGACTTTTCTCGGCTTATGTTTATGGCTCCATCTAGTGAGGAGCAACCAAAAGTATTAAAAGAGATTTAGTTTTACAAAATTCTACTAGAATTGTTTATTTTGGAGTCTTGGAGTGACATGTGATGTGATCAAGTTGAAGTCACAGAAGTTGTTAATGTCGAAGGTATATTCCTAGATTTTAGCAATAAAGTGATAAAAATGGGAGAAGTCGAAAAAAAGGCAGCAGAAGATGCAAGAAATTTTGTTTCGAAGATATTAGGAGACATTAGCAAATCCTCAGCCACTAAACAAATTGTTCTAGGAGCATCTTCAGGATGGTAAATTTTGATTAATATTATTTTTTATATATAAATTGCGTTATATGTTTTGTTATTTTTAAACGTTTTGTCATTGATGAGTTCACAAAAAATAATTCCATTATTTATAAACATTTGTATATTTGAATGACTAATTTCTTATTTTAGGGTTACTGGGTTTTTAGCTATGCGAGTAGGAAAAACTGCAGCCCTTGCTCTAGGTGGTGGTATTATTTTATTACAAATTGCAAATGAAAAAGGATATATAAAAGTTAATTGGGACAAAGTTAACAGGAATCTCGATAAAGTTGCAGATAAAGTAGAGGAAAAAATCTCTGGAGAAGGTCCATCATGGATGGATAAGGTAACAATATAAAATTATTATAGTTTTGTAGCTAAGAGGCTTGTGTTGGAAATAGTTATATCCTCACAACTCTCGCACTATAACTTCTTTCCACTTAGCTACAATATTTTTTCTTTGTTTTTGATCCAACTAAGTAAAATGTCAAAGATACAAATGAAATGTGTATAATTAACAACAGTTTAATCAACAATAAAAGCAATTTATTTGAATTATGTTCTGAAATAGTAGAGAAATATATATTTGTTATTATTATCTATTCCCTGAATACCTATATAGGGTTCCCAACCGTCCCGGTTTGGCCGGGATTAACCAGGAATCAGAAAGTTTGTCCCGGCGAAAGTTTTGCCTTGGCCGGGACCTGGAAATTAAAAAAATGTGTACTACACACATAATATATTTTATTTTCTAATATTTAATGTCTTGCTTCAATTATTTAAAAGCTTAAAAATAAATGTCCCGGAATCGCCTATGCTCAAGTTGGGAACCCTATACCTATAATGGGTCACAATTTAATGACTACCTAATAAGTATACAGGATTTTCTGACCTTGAATTTTTTAATGTCTAGGTAAATGCTTGTGAAAGAGGAAGATGTGATATGAGTGAATGTTTTGTGAATTAAGTTTGATTCATTTAAAAGAAGGTAACCTTAAATAATTTCGATCAGTTAGTTTAGTTTTCGGTTGGGTGGAAAGAAGTTTATTTATAGATCTAGTCTAGTGAATTTTATCAGCAAGTCCTGGAAATAAATAATATTTTAATTTATGACTCAATCAATATTTGCATGTCATTTTATGTTGACGGGCTTAATTTTAGGTTATTACTTTTGCTAAACGTAATACTCCATTTTCATCTGGTTATATTGGAGGGTTTTTGATTGGTATGGCATCGCATTAGAGAAGATATAAAGAACTGAAAATAATAACCAAATATGTGAATATTTATTTAACTATTTTTTAAAAAACCTGTAACTGGATAATTAGAGAATTATTGATTTTCATTACCTTCTGTATTTATTATGTATAAATAAAAGGAGATTATAGAGATGTTAAAATGTTTATTTTAATTTAGATACTAAGCCAAACAAAAACCTGATTGCATTGAATCTTATTTAACTTTTAACGCTACAAGTATATATATTACAGGCTGAAAGATACGTTGATAGGAAAGCAGATCAGGCAGTGAGTAAAGTGAAAAAAGGACAACAAAAGGCTAAGAAATGGTATTCTAGTTTTACTGGAGATGAATGCAAACTCAAAGAAGTCCACATATTTATTGTATCCTTTGCTGCAGGCGTAGCAATTGGTATTGGATCTGCTTAAATTAAGTTACTGTTTTGTAGTCATTGTAAAATAATTAAATACTTAGTTGTGTAATTAATAAGCCTCTCAGTACTCATATTTGATTTAATTTGCAGTATTTTTAATATATTTTTTGTAGATATATATACCCAATATGTACTAACTAAGTATTAAATAAAATATTTATTCTAATTTATTTTTAAGGAGGTATCATATTTATTTTTAGTATAGCATTTAATCATTAAATTATAGAAAATAATCGCAGGAAAATACCTACTATCTAAAATAGTGTTTTTATAAATATACGGGGGGGTCAAAGTATATATTATACATCTCAGACCAAATAAATATTTAGTCTCAGAATTATGTAATGTGTATAAATCTGTACGTTTACAGTGTTGTTTTAAGATTTTAACTATAGCTTTTGGAAGAGTTTTTTACCAATTGATTTTTTATATAAATAAACTGAGAAATTGAAAAAATGATGGAAACAATAATTATTAAAAAGATGCAAATTTGAAATGATGGCTTATGCAACTCGACAAACACTTCATAAACCTTCAATTTATATACTTCAAAATGACTTCAAAGTATTTTTATTTAATAATTCGACACAAAAATTGATTTTGAAAGTGCTACTCTTGCTACTCTCCTCTTTAAAAAATATAACTTTATTTTAAAATTTACAGGTCAGTCTAGATCCAAACATGGAATTCTAACTAAATAGCGATCGGTAGCGATGAAGATTAATGTCGCTTGCCGTTTAGTTTCTGTTTCTACAGCCAAGGACAGTATTCTTCACAAGGTATTCTTCATTGCTACTATGGTGTAGAGTGTAGAGGTTGTTGCTACCTCTACACTCCATAATCGCTACAAAATTATAATATCCTAATCTGTGATCCTAATATCCTTATAATAATATTCTTTGTCGCTACCGTAGACAAGGAAAGAGGTCGCTACAGATCGCTATTTAGATTGCTACAGCTATTTAGTTACAGAGTTCGACCCCAGATATCCTAAAAAGCGTTAGTTGTAGGGTTAAGCGACACTAGATGACGTTACAAACCCGCATTCCTTAAAGCATTCCTATTGGTCTGTTTAAGATGAGCTCTTTTAATCCCCACTCAATGTTTTTCATTCATTTATTCCATCAGCTCGTGCGAGGGACGAAACAGGTGTAATTTATCGATTTATGAATGATTAGTTGTCAGTATATACTACCAGATTTTATTCTGTATCCTTTAGAAATTGTTGTAGTATAGAAAGTGTTTTAAATTAGGTAAGTAGTTTTAAAACGAGATTTATATAAAATTATTTCCTGTTTTTTAGTCTATAGGTACTTCATATTTATATAAAAACATTACGACTGCAAACAATTTTATTTGTTTTTGTAGGTGTAGAACCTACGTGGGTTTAAAGTACTAATTTTTTATATGTTAAATTCAGTTTTATATTTTTCTATAAAAGGTTCAGATTGCGTGTAAACTTTGTAATGCAAGTAATGTAATTATATTTATTTTTAGAACTACTGACTCACTCCTAATAGTTAAAATAGCTACTCACTATAAACAACTGTAAACATATACATATATTTAACTTTAACATTTTATTGCAGCGCTATGGCTAATCGTTTAGATATAGTTATTTTTGGTGCAACTGGTTTTACAGGGCTTCACTGTATTCCCTATGTTGCAAAATTATCAAAGGCAAACGGTAGGAATTTAAGTTGGGGAGTTGCAGGTAGATCAGAAGAAAAACTTAAAAAAACACTGAAAGAACTAGGAGAAAAAAATGGTAAGAAATAAATGTCTTTTTTATGCTAAAAGGTAAATAATATAAATCTGCAGGGGATAATTTTGATTCCATACCTATCATTACTGCTGATATTCAGGATAAAGATTCCATAGTAAACATGGCAAAGAAAGCCAAATTAGTAATTAACTGTTGTGGTCCTTATCGCTTTTTTGGAGAACCTGTGGTAAAGGCTTGTATTGAGGCTGGTGCCCACCACGTTGACGTGAGTGGTGAACCAGAATATATGGAAAAGGTTCAACTCGAACATCACGAAGCGGCTGTCGAAAAAGGCGTTTATGCTATCAGTGCCTGTGGTTTAGACAGTATTCCATCTGATCTGGGTGTTGCATTTGTGCAACAAAACTTTGAAGGAACCTTAAATTCCGTTGAAACGTATCTCAGAGGTTGGACAGAGGGTGATGTTAAAGGTAAAATTTCATGCACAAGGAATATTTTATTCATTGGACCTCATTGCAAAGGTTATTTTTTGTTATCTTAAAATTACTTCATTTTAATAAGTGATTAAAATATTATCTATTTTTTTATGTTAATTTATTTTGAACCTGTTTACCATGATACACATACTACCGGTATAATTGCGTCTATTCGGCTCTTTACGTCATCTCAGTGCTTATATAGACACATGGCATTTGTATATAAACCATTATAAACACTTTTTTTTTCATGATTTCTTGAGATCGTTTCACAGTTTTGGCTCATGCTTTAAATATTACAAATTTCCTATAAACACTTTATATTAAACAAAAACAATAATTTCAACAGTATAAAATAAAGTACCTACGTTTTTTAGTGTATTGTAGCAAATATTATAGTTGCCAGTTATTTTGCTGTTATAACACAATATGTTCCAACCTCTATAATTGAATTAAAACCACTTTTATAAACTATACAAAAAGAAGGAACATATCTGTAGAGAGACAGTATTATTATATCTTAATTTAATTTCTTTGAGTTCCATATTAAAATAGAACATACCAGTATTAAGTGTGTCGTGCTGTTTACTTAGTTATTTTATAAGAAATATGTATGCAAACTGCTAATAATAATTATATTCAATCATATTATATACAATAAAGGGCCATTGATCAATTATGGGACTTGGGACAGTGCAGTACATGGCTTGGAAAATCAACATAAATTAAAGACTGTTAGGTCAAAACTTTTTGAAAAACTAAAAAAGGTACCATCCTTTTCCCCAAAACTGAAAGTAAAGCTCTACCCTCATAAATCAGAGCATGCCAATGGTTGGGTCCTGCCATTTTTAGGCTCAGATCAATCTGTTATTCGAAGATCACAGAATTATTTCTATCACTATGAAAATCAACGTCCTGTTCAGGTAGGTTATTATAGATATGAAGTATATTTATCTTAGATTACTAATAAGCCATTTTCTTAGGTCGGAACTTACTTTACTGTGTCATCTACCCTAGCCTTAATTGGTATCCTTTTCTATGCAGTTATATTTGCGATTCTATCTCGCTTTAGTTTTGGTCGCAAGTTGCTTCTCAATTATCCAGAACTATTCAGTGGGGGATTTTTTAGTAAAGAACAACCAAAAGAGGAAACAATTCAAAATACATGGTTCAGCATTGATTTTTATGGAGAAGGTATACGATCACACAGGGTGCTCCACTGTTAGATCTCTATAAATTTTTCTATTTTAGGATGGAAAGAAAAATTGGCAAATAAAGATGATCAGTATGTAACTCCAGTTGATCGTCAGATAGTAGGTCAAGTAAAAGGCCAAAATCCAGGATATGGATCAACTTGTCTTCTCTTAACTTTGGCCGGTATTATTATTTTGACTGAAAAAGAGAAATTACCAAATAATGGCAGGTAATGCTTTAGATAATGAGAAAGGTGTAGGCGGAGATTAATTTGTACATATGAATTTTGATTTGTTAAATGGTCATCAGTCACCATTCAGTAATTTTGGAGTTGTAATTTTTTTTGTAATCCTACATTAATTATATACTACAGTTCCTTATTAAAAGGGCCTGACATTGACAATGTTATTATAGCGCGCAAAATATTCATATAAAAAGTTTCATATAAAAGCATCAGATGCCAAGTGACTTCTCAAAACATATTTCATGACTGATGCCCATTTAACACATATTCATATATAGTTTTAGTGTGCAAAATTTTTTGGACATACCCAAGTAGCATTTTCACGACTTGCGACATGTTTACTAAACACAACGTTGGATTAGTTACAAAAAATAGTTAGCTCCGTACCTTGGGTATTAAAATAAATGTAAACATTGTTGTAACGTTGTGCCGACGTTGAACTAGTACTACAACAAAGTAAACGCTTCTGCGACGTCTAATAAACGTTGTCTTGTAACCTTTTTTGCTAAAGTGATCTTTAGGTGATTCGGACAACGTATTTACAATGTTGGGCAATAAAGAGTTTTCCGACGTCACTTTCAGGACCTATTCCAACGTTATGAAAACGTCGTCTGTTTTACTAATTCCAACGTTGTTTAGATTTCCTTATTCTTACGTTGGTAGGACGTCGGGCCACTACCTTTTTGCAACTGTATTGAACCATAACCTTAAATCTTAAATTTTCACTTCATTGTTCTGTTCAGTCAGACAGTTCAGTGCTGTTTTTGTTTTTATAAAAAACTTAATTAAAATGGGACGTAAGAAAGGCACATATAAAACTAAATTTAAATATACATCGACATATTACCGATACTTTATCCACTCCCTCGTTTATTTAGAATATAGAGGGCGGCACAAGCTAGCCTCTAGGATGACTATATTAGGCAATCTTGCGACTAGTATACTACCTGTTAAGGCTGAACTCCGACTTTATTAGTCCAGTATGCGACTACTCGAACTACTCCATCACAGAATATACTAACGAAAAAGAAGCCCAGGTTCCTTGTAATAAATCGGTTCCATTTTAGTAACGCCATCTCTCGACAAAGCTGACATTTATAGGTTAGCCAAAAGGGTGCGGGGCCGGGGGGAATTGTAAAATACACTTTCTTATTTTAATTATTTTTATTCGCTATTTGCAATTTTATTTTTAAAACATATTATGTGAAACAATCACATAATATGTCTTAAAAATAAAATTACAAACGGAAACAAAAGGAATTAAATAATCTGAAAATCTACAAAGTTTATTGATAAAAAAGTTAGGCTATGCAAATTGATATATTAAGTATAACCTCTTTGGTATAACATTGTTAAACAAACATTAACAAATCATAACATATCAGATCATAGAACTAAAAAAAGTACTATTACATACAAACAAATACAATACTTCAAAATTAATTTTAACATAATATCAAAACCGAAAAATCAAACTGCAAACACAACCACACTTATCACAACAGAAATTAACACACACTTCCGTGGCAAATGTCCAAGAAAGACTGATCATTCTGATTGGTCCTGGTCTGGTCGTAGCTCACGTCGTATTATCGGTAAGCAAAATCCCTGTACAAAAATTTTGACGATCAGCGCCATCACCCGTCATAATTGGGAAACTTTTGCTGGAACCATTTTTAATATTTGACTTACATGGCCCTGTACTCCATCTTAATCTCTAAAACAACAAAGTGAAAGCCGCCATGTTGTGAAATAAGAAAATGTTTCGTTCCTGAAATAGCAATTCCTACTTTTTGAATACATTAACTTGAAATATTTGACCCTAAACAACACGTGGAAACAATTTTTTTTTCGACTGCAAATAAATAATTATTCTCATTTTACTAAAAAAAAAAAAAAAATTCAATAATTTTTTTAAAACTTGTTAAATTTTAACTCCCATTAGTATTTTTCAAAGTAGAAACAATACATTTATCAATAAAGTTGTTTGCGTTTAACTTTTTTGCCTTGGGTAACGAGTTGCAGAGTTGGTTAGTGTATCAATAATTATGATCTTCAAACATCCTCCACACTTAAATACTTTTGTTTTGTTTTCCTTTACTGCCATCTGGCATATGTCTCTAACTAAATCATAAAAATAATAATTTTTACTATAATTATCCCAATTTAGGATAAAACGCGACTTAGACGCCATATTATTATAGTTTTGTATTTCTGTGAATTAGGATTTTAAACAACGTTGCAGTTTGTACTAAATTAGGCTGCTAGCCAACGTAGGTATCCAACGTCGTTTCGACCCAAAAATTAAATAATAATCTTCATAATATGGCAACATAGGTAGTATATTAAATTTACAAGAAAAAAAAAACAGAAAATATCCAGCGGTTCTCAAAATGTAAGCAAAAAATATTTTTTTTTTGGAAATTTTCAAAGTAAAATATCTCGGTTATTTTGGAGTTATTGGAAAAACGGTAAAGAGAAAATATGTTTCTTTTATCGAGATGTACCAGCCTTGAAAATATTTGCACTTATTTAAGGCTCACTCTGTATATTCACAAAGTGAGGTTCCTCATTAACTTCTATTAACCCAATAATAAAAAATATTTCCATTTGTTACTTTTTGGCGTACCATGTATATAGGTCTTTTATACGCTGGATCAAAAATATCAAGTTAATTCTGAGTATCTATCATTTAAAATTTAGTGCCAATTATATTTTTAGGGGAGGAATTTATCCACCTGGTGCAACCTTTGCCAAAACTTCCCTAGTTAAGCAACTAAACGAGAATGGATTGACCTTTAAAATAGTGTCGCAAAATGACATCTAAATTACCAGTCATTATTATTAGTTGTTTTGCATTTATTTATGTTAGTTTATATTTAATATATGTATGTGTTTCTAACATTGTTACATTTGGCAGATGTGCTTTATTAATGTTTAGATATTTAACTTTTGTATTAATAAACAATTATTTTCCCTATATTAGTGTTTTATTTTGATCTAATTCACCAACTTTTTAGAATGATTGATATGTATGTTGTATGAATAAGTTTTTTTGATTATATAATGTACTTATAACATTGATTGACATTTAAGCGGCCCTTTAAGATGAAGTAATAATAATTTTGTTTAGATTATCTGAAAATTTCTCTTTGCTGGTGTCGAGTAGATACAGAATGTGAGAGTGCCTTTCATTCTTCATGTATTAACCTTAGGTTATAAAGACGAAAAATAAAAATCGCTCATTATGTTTCTATCTAATATTGTTTTTTCTTTTTATACGATTATAAATAGATTTAGGTACATGTGTATGTGTACTTGAACCTTGAAAAGATATAATTGATATGTAATTGAATTGTGACTAATTGACTAGCGAATTATATGACATTAAGTTAATTACAGTAATTTTATATATAGTTACATCGTCTGCTTTACAATACGAATTTAACTTTGGAATGATCAAAAATATTTATAATTGATAAGAAACAAGTATTTCAAATTCATTGTAAAACATATCACATTATACAAAAAATGCAAAACTATTTTACCTAGATATGAAAACTGAGAATGGTATTGTAATTTCGTAATTTGTTAGATTGGGACTCAATAAATTTTAAACCATGTGATCTTAGAAATAACATCGACCTGTCCTTGTTAAATATTTTTACTACATTATAAAAATATATACTTAAATAGTTTTTAAAATACTCCCTTTTTTTAGAAAGAATTAATATTTTTATATCGTAGTCAATTTATAGAGCACATTTATACAAGGGACTTATTCTAATTTCTAATACCTCAAAATTAAGTTAGATCTATGTATTGTTAAGAACTTCAGCGACACAGTATAGCTCCAAATAAAAATGTATTTCTATGCCTAATGTGACGTCGTTTTTGTATAGGAACGCATTTTGTATGTTGCATTTATATATTTATGTGTGAAAAAATATCTTCAAAAGTAATTGTCAAAAGGATTATACCTATTGGTTATTATAAAATTCCAAATGATTTAAACATATATGGATGTAAACATTGCCCACTATATTTTTCTTTCAATAGAGATGAATAAACGATTTTTTTTAAATTGTGGTGGTTATAACTTTATTAGAATTCATAATCTAATTTCCACAAATTATTTTATAAATTATTGAACTTATTTTTTTCATTATTACTTAAGTTATGAAATGTTAATAAAACATAATGAACTATAATACCTATTCATTATAAGACGCTGATGTGGTTTGGCAATTATTTTCTGACGGCATTGAGAAGTTTTTTTATCAACAGGAGAAAATAAAAATATAGAGTTATTTTCAGATATGTTTTTGAAATTATTAAAAATATATTAATTAATGTTCTACCATATATATTGTTTAATTTTCAAATCACTTAACGCTGGGAGCGGAAATTTTAATAAAAAAAGTTAGAGGAATTCAAATGAAATTACGCCAATTCGAATCATTCACGCAAAATAAGAAGAAACTGGTTTTCATCATTGAAAAAAATTAGAGTGATATAAGCCCAGACCTTGTTGGAGAGAGTACGAGATCCATAATCTACTCTTTAAAAATAAAAAAGCAACAACTAGGGATGGACATTTAGTCGACAATAATATAATCGATAAAGATAAAATCGATAATTATTCAAATTATTATAGCAGAAAAAATATAATAATTTAAATACCAGAAGCCACTCTGTAAAAAAAATATAAAACCTGGGTGAGCCTTAAATAAGTGCAAATATTTTAAGGGGTAGTATTTTTCAATCCCAGAAACACGCCTATGAGTTTTTTTCGCGAAAAATTTTTTGAAAAATTTTTGGGATTTCTTTTTACTTTTAGTTAAAACACATCATTTCTTAGGAATATGACAACATAGGTAGTACATATATTAAATTTACAAGGAAGAAAACCCAGAAATGATCCAGTGGTTCCCAAAACTTAAGCAAAAAATCATTTTTTTTTTCGAAGTAAAATAACTTATCGGTTATTTTAGACTTTTTGTCGAACGGAAGATTTGAAAAACGATAAAGAGAAAATATTATGTTTCTTTGTGTGTGTGTGGTGTGTGTGTGTGTATCGAGATTATTTATCTTTGCACTTAAGACTTACCCTGTATATTTTATGGGAGTTAAAGTTGCTTTTTAATAATGTATTATATTATTTTTTATTATTATTATTATCACTAGCGCCTCGTGAGTTCTGAAGCAAGGTGGGCATAGCCTCCACAAGAAAACAAAAATATCTAATTACTCATATATTTATTTATTTCCTTTTATCCCTTGGTGGTTAGGTAATAATGTGCCCTTATCAATGATTCGCCCGTATGCCTTTTAGGGCCAATCAGCACTGACTATTGGCATTGTTATTAGACCAATGTTTTTTGGATATAATGAATACGTGTAGTTTCATGTTGTCTAAAATACTAGATATACTATATAGGCATTTCTGATATTTGTTTTAGAAAAAAATTATATATTATAAAAAACTTATATTCACTATTCACTGAATATTTCATATATAGCGGCCGGGTCTGTTGCTGTGAGATATAATCATTTTTAAGTGTTATCGTTGGTGTTATGTTAAGTTTATCTGATACTGATAACGATAGTGATAAAAATTCTCAGTATTTTTGTGATATCGCGGTAACGATAGTCCCATCCCTAGGTCGACAACCGTTGTATCGCGAACTTCAACAGAATCCACGCAGACGTATAAATATTATTCGCGCTTTTACTCAGTTCGAATCTGTGCGTAAATAAGTAAACATGGAGATAAAAACCGAAAATCGTCAACAAACAAAACGGTAAGTTTACATATACATAGTCCAGACACATAATAGTCGAACAATTTCGCTCTCATTGCTCAATCTGGCACATACAACACACCAATGCACTCAGTTTTATTTTTTTATTACAAATTGCTCGATTAATGAATTCATTAATTTATTTTTAACATCACTGTCCTCCCTATCTATATTACCATCCATATAACAACATTCATTGTTTTGTTACTATATAAAAAAGAATAATTGATTTCCTCTTTTAATTTCAATTAAACTTTTAATTGTTTTCTCTTCACAAAATCAGCTTGACAATTTAAAATGATGCATAGTTTACACTTAAATATTACTATAAGAATTAATATTTGATTGTTCTATTACTTAATGGTTATATATTTAATGGAATTTACAAATTATATACATATTTATGTGTATAATTTTATTCTTTTATTTAAATTAGGTATTGGATTAATAATTTTTTTTATTTAATTATAAACAAAGTGTAAATGAATTTTACAAAATCATTTTTAATCTTTTTTTAAGAAAAGTTTTTTTATATAAATTTTTCTATGTGAAGAAAATATTCAACCTTTTTGAAAATTTTACTTTATGGTGACATAAGGAAAACAAATTACATTTTTTAGAGACAATTTTGGACCAATATTTTGAATCAATATTTGTGATTTTTTTATTTTAAAAAATAAACTAACGAAGCATTCTAATTTCCTAATAATTCTCCAATCGATACATCATTACCATGGTTCAGAAATCATTATTTTTTCAGGAGTCTACAACAACAGATATTGGACGTAGCACCTGTTGTTTTAGATTTTGTTATATTAATTGTGCAAGTGTTTTATTACATAATTGAAGCAACTTTTAGACTTTTTAAACCAGTTGACCCCGAGCCCGTTAAAGAGGAGCTAGTTTTGGTAAGGAATTTTCTTTTTTTGTCCTCATTGCAAATCACATAAACCGCATTTCAATTTCATCAATTTTTAATAATTTCTCATCACAAATTTACAAATTCTTAATATTTAATTTGTAATTAAATATTCCGCGTCTATACAATAAGTGATCATATTATCTAACATTTGTAAAGCTATGTAATTAATACCCTAACATAAACTGCACACAGATAATAAAAACCTACGGTTGGAATACCGAGTGTGAAATTTCATAAAGATGCCTATTTAAATTGAAAATACCTCGCTCTGAATATGCCAAGGCTACTAAAATTACTTAATATTAGAAAATAAAATCTATGTACCTAACATTTTTGTTTCTTATGTATCTCCTTAAACTGATAAAAAATGTATAATGTAAAATTTTTCTAGCAAAATAAACAAAAATCATCACTTAATTGGAACTCGAAGTTTTTATGAAGTTTATTTTTTTTCAAACCTCTGGATCCATATTATAGTGTAATATATTAGCCTTGTATATTAGTAACAATAAACAACATGGTATAATAATGTTTTTCTAGACACTATAATACATCACCAATATTTATTTAATTATGAACTTATATTTGTAGAAATCAAAAGGCAATGAATAATGTATGTGGGTGAAATAGTCAGATATTTTTTAATTTCTTATTAAATCAGCAGCTCAGGAAAGCTTCAAATATAAAAATCAACATTATATTTTTGGGATGTAATTAAAAAAAGTACCATCCTAAAAACCTGTTGTTCTCAAACAATAATTAGTAAATGTAAAACACATATATTAATTTGCATATTAATTTTATAGTGGGTATATTATTTATCAAAAATTGCTTACAAAATATAGGATTTTATTATTAAAAGAAAATGCAGTTTTATATTTCCATATTTATAGGTATATTAATATACAGGGTTGTTCACCACATACGACACGGAGTATTGTAGCTAAACGATTAGATTTTCACAATTTGTAAGTTTTGGGTTCGTTGAAGGTCAATTAGAGCTACAATTTAAAAATATTTTTACAAGATACAGAGTGTCCCAAATAAGTAAAAAATATTATAGTTATATTTTTTTAAATGGAACACCCTGTATATTATTCTATTTTTGGATTCTACGATTGAAATAAAGGTAAATTTGATTAATGTTTATCACACTTAAACCTTACCGTTTTTGAAATATTTTCAATTTTATGAAATTGCAGTAAAAAATTTAAGGCTTTATTTCTCCCAGGGTATCAAAGTTTTTAATACCAAATATTTACTGAAGATTATTTATTGATCAGATATTGTGTTGCAATAATAAAAAATTTACTACCTTATACAGAGTGTCCAAAAATTTATATTAAATAATTACTAGCTTTAAACGGCAATAACTTGTTTAATTTAAATGGAACACCCTATATATTTTACGTAAATCAGATGCACAATGTAATTGTCTATCAAATTTTATTATACCATTTTTTAACCATCTCTTCAAGTTTTCGTAGAAAATGCATTTTTTTATAATTTAGGCCTCATTTATCACTATACCCATGGAATATTGACATTTCAGATTTTTTTATAGCACCATAATATGTACAAAATGTACAGGTGGTAAATATTGCAAGCCCATTGGCATACAAAATAAACTATTTAAATATTTATAAAAGAGTATACCAATTAAATATACCATCATTATTTCCTACCAAAAACACCAAAAATTAGTTAATTACATACTTATAAATTGTTTTAATTAAAACATTATTCTAAATGAATGTGGATTTGGCTCAGAAATCAATATAATAATAAGTCATAAAAATGAACGTGTGTTTTTATAAATAAACATTCGTTAATAAATGAAGTAAAATCTATAAGGTGTTGCTTTTTACCACACTGTCTAATACACACACAAAATTCAGTTTTTTAGTATTTGGAGCAATTATTACTACAACGTAAACAGTCAAATAATGTAGTTTGAATACTGGGATCATATTAATTGGTCCTCTTTAACAAAAAATATTTAAATAGTTTTTTTATTTTTTAATTAAATAAGCGAACTAGATTTATCGACAATATTAGTATCTGTACCCTTTGAAAATTTGTTATATCTTTAAAAATAAGCTAAAATGTCGGACCTTTTTAAAAAAATTAATTTTATTTTTCAGAAACTATTAGAGACAGAGTTTACCAAAAATGCTTTTTATAACTACTAGTGGGTAAATGAATTTCTAGATATATTACGAATTTTTTTGGAACTTTAGTTTCGGAGATATAAATTTAATCGGACCTTTTTAAAAAATTAATTTTATTTTTCAGAAACTATTTGAGACAGAGTTTACCAAAAATGCTTTTTATATCTACTAGTGGGTAAATGAATTTGTAGATATATTACGACATTTCTTGGAACTTTAGTTTCGGAGATATTAATTTAATCGGACCTTTTTAAGAAAATTAATTTTATTTTTCAGAAAGTATTAGAGACAGAGTTTACCAAAAATGCTTTTTATAACTACTAGTGGTTAAATGAATTTCTAGATATATTACGAATTTTTTTGGGACTTTAGTTTCGGAGATATAAATTTAATCATATTAACATAAAGGTCTAAATTATAAGAAAATGCATTTTCTATGAAAACTTGAAGAGGTGGGTAAAAAATGGAACAATACAATTTGATAGACAATTACATTGTGCATCTGATTCACGTAAAATATATAGGGTGTTCTATTTAAATTAAACAAGTTATTGCCGTTTAAAGCTAGTAATTATTTAATATAAATTTTTGGACACTCTCTATAAGGTAGTAAAATTTTTATTATTGCAACACAATATCTGATCAATAAATAATTTTCAGTAAATATTTAGTATTAAAAACTCTGATACCCTTGGAGATATAAAGCCTTAAATTTTTTACTGTAATTTCATAAAATTGAAAATATTTCAAAAACGGTAAGGTTTAGGTGTGATAAACCTTAATCAAATTTACCTTTATTTCAATCGTAGAATCTAAAAATAGAATAATATACAGGGTGTTCAATTAAAAAAAATACAACTATAATATTTTTTACCTATTTGGGACACTGTATCTTGTAAAAATATTTTTAAATTGTAGCTCTAATAGTCCTTCAACGAACCCAAAACTTACAATTTGTAATAATCTAATCGTTTAGTTACAATACTCCGTGTCGTATGTGGTGAACAACCCTGTAGATTTATAATTATTAAATACCTAAGGAGTATAGTAATATGATTAAAATTTATAGGAAAAGGAAATGCTTGTTTAATTATTTTGTAGTTCTTTCATTTTATTTTCAGAAATAAATTTGATATATATTGGATCTATAGAAATGTCTGAATTATAATTATATTTTACCTCATAAACGATAAGTCTGAAAATAATAAAAATATTAAGTAGTCAAAGTTGGATGTAATTGAGTAAATTCAGGATTCATCTAAAATTTTTGGATTCAAAATCACATTTTCGACTTTCTTGTAAACCTCTTTACAACTAAAAAACTGAAATTTCGTCCATCTTGTAGGTCACCGGGGCAGGTCATGGAATAGGTAGAGAAATAGCGCTTCAATATGCATCTGAAGGATGCACACTTGTTTTATGGGATGTAAACCAGAAAGGCAATGAAGAAACTGCTAAACTTATTGAGAAAAGTGGAGGACCAAAAGCACATACTTATACGTAAGCCAGTACTTATATTTCTAGTACTTTAATTGAGATTTTTTAACCATGAAATTAGGTGCACATAAAATGTTCTAGATCTAATGATCTAATACTCCAATATCACTTTCTCCTTGTAAGAATAATGTTTTGTTTAGTGTTTGAATTCTCTGTAGTTTTTGTATAAGTGTGTATTTATAGTAAAGTTCTTTTTAAGAGAACTGCCAGTATTTATCTGCATATAGATGTATCGATTTTTTGTTGGATTGATACATGTCTAATAGGAATCTTACTGCTTGAGAGTCGCTTTCTTGTATTTGCGATAATTACTAAAAAAAATACTGTACCCTTAGCCAAAGATTTTAAATAAATTGATTATAAAAACCAGATTTTCACAGACGATTAATAAAAACAAGAGTCATATTACCAAATAAACAAGGTAAACCTGTTTGATAGATATAAATATTTCCATCTCAAAATAATTAATTAGATATTGATTGTTGAGGATAGACTTATAATATAGGAATAATACCGTATGATCGAATAAAAACGGCGTCAGCGATGGCTATGAAATGAAGATCGCTGTCATTTTGTATGTAAAATTATATGGGAAATGTCAGCGATCGTCATTTCCCAGTCAACTGGACGCCGTTTTTTTTCGATCATACGGTACTTATCTGAATAAAATGCGTACATATCGAAAAACTCAATAATTATTTAACTGAAAAAATGGAGAAAATTATATTTTTTAAACTATTATTATTAAAAAAATTCCGCTGGCCTCAAGGGTATTTAACTATTAGAATCTGAAAACATATTGAAGTAAATAATTAGCACTACTTTGTATATTAATTTTATTATTTTCCCGTTTTAAATAAAATGCAACCGTCTACAGATGGTCAAATACCGGTTATCTCAATTAAAAATAAAAATGTAATAACACATCATATATCTCTGTCTTTGGCTAATTCAATGTATTAACTCATAGTATTAACCATTAACCTGTTGATCTCAAGGAACTATATAGGAATAGAGCTTCTTTTGGTCAAATGAAAACAACGTCTCATAGTAGGCGTAGAAGTGCTGAAATGCAAGCTTTACTATGTTTATCAGTGAAATTCTTGCAGTAAAGCAATAAGAGACTTACTTCAAGCCCATGTTAAAAGCTAAATCTACAATATAAATAGTTCTTTAGAACAAAAAAGAACTGTTTTAGAAACAATTTTTTATATTTAAATAAATAAATAATTCAAAATCATCCGTCATTGTCAAAGTCAAGAACTTCTATATTTGTTACTTTTTCAGATGTGATGTATCTGATCGACAAAACGTACTATCAGTTGCAGAAAAAGTGAAACAAGAAGTTGGAGATGTGACTATTTTAATAAATAACGCTGGAATCATGCCTACACATCCTTTAGAAAAGCACACCGAAGCTGAGATTAGAAAAATCACCGATATTAATGTTTTAGCGCATTTTTGGGTAATTAGTTACATTAAAAACTTAACGCGTAGGTTAAATAGGTGTGATTAGAGGCAATGTCACAGGTATTATATAATATTACCCCGAATCGTAACATCAGATTTGTCTAATATGTTAAGCGCATTTTTTTTTGCTTGTCCCCGCACCCCCGCAGGTCCTAGTTACCTGAGTCACCAAGGGTTAATGGTGAAATAGGAAAAGGAAAGTCACTCATCGAACTCATGTAATACCGCTATCACAGAAGGCCTATTTGTATCTGTGAAGGATGGGATACCAAGAGTATCACCATTAAATTTTAAGTTTTCCAATATGAATTTTAGTGGCTGTAGTAAAACTGTCTAAGACAATATGTCTTAATTTACAGTGTGTTGCATAGACAATAATAAAACCGATGTAGTCTGTTGGTTATTTATACACACCTTATTCATTTCAAAGTGAGCTGCCACAAATTAGCAAGCTGTATTGGATAAGCTCTAGTATACATATTACATCTAATTGCAACTCAAAATACTGTACACGATATGACAAGAAACTTATTGATGTTTATTTTAGACACTTGAAGCATTTCTACCAGCAATGAAGAAGAATAACCATGGTCATATAGTATCTCTTTCATCAATAGCTGGTGTTGTAGGAATACCGAACTTGGTACCATACACAGCTTCAAAGTTTGCTGTTAGGGGCTACATGGAAGCTTTAATGGATGAGTTGAACTGGAACCCATACAATCAAATAAAAACAACCACAATATGTCCGTTTATGGTCAACACAGGTTTATGTAAAAAACCATACGTCAAGTTTGAAAAGATGTTAAATTTACTAGATCCTAAAACTGTAGCTGAAAAAATTATGTACGCCCAAAGAACTGGTGTTATGGAATGTACTATACCTAGTTATTTATTAAAAGTTAATCATTTAACAAGGTACTTATTAATATAACTTCTTCAGATTACAATATCTCGTTCACTCTTTTTTTACAGATTACTCCCTGCAAAAGCAGCTCTTAAAGTGAAGGCATTTTTCGATAGTGGAGTTCATTCTGATTTGTAAATATTGCCAGAAAAAATGTTTCTATTTTTATATTTTTGTCATAATAAACTGCTGTGATAAATGATAATTTTTATTTATGAAAAAGTCGGTTTATTCATGTATTACCCCTAAATTAAAGATGATGTACGTTCATTTCAGGTAAACTTATATATCGATACGACTTACTACTTTATAGTTTCATACCATATGTATTTATAGATTTATTTTTATATTTTTGTTTGAAAATAAATGGAGGAAGTGTAATATTTTAAGATTAGAAACATAATGCTATTTTTTCCCCGTAAAATTGAATTACTATAAGATTTTATTCTGCTCTAAAAATAGGAAACATATCTATAGATCTATCTCTTTAGAGGCTGATGGAATCATTAGGGCATATTGACACTTAAAATAGTTAAAATGCTTTTTACAAATTTTTGGTATCAGATATATTTATCTTACTTTAAAAATGGAATTCATTTTATTAAATGAAGGTGAGTACGAATAACCTATTAATATATTTTTAATGGGTAAAATAGCTAATATAAAAGGAAAAATACTAATAAATTTATATTACTAAAAAATAGTACCACAGTATTCTTATGTATAGAAATCAATCTTTAGAATGTGGTTTGTGGTTGTATTCAAGATAATTAAAATATGTCTTTATTTAGATTTTGGTGGTAGGTATTAATAGAAAGCTTAATAAAATTTCAATAAAAACTTAGGCGATATCTAGAAAACCAAAATTAATAAAAAAAAAATGAGCTTTACAGGTTAATTTCCCAAATCACTTTTAACAAAATAATACAATTTTGGTTCAGAAATCCAACTTGTATAAAATTCTTTAGTTTAACGTATGGGCTTAACGTAAAATAAAGAGAATGCAAAAACCCTGCAACAAACAAGGCATTGTATTTTGTAGAAATTTTTATTGTAAAAGACCTTTTACAAAGAAACTTTCAATTAGAATAAAAGGGTTTTATTTAATTAACCATTTCAATGTTACTTGTATTTTATTAAATATGCATACCTAGGAATTTTTAGTAGTTGGGTAGTTTTTAACTCCAGAGAGCTGAAAACTCACATGTTTAGCTAACAAAGCTGTCAGTTCCAATGAAATATATTTAACAACAGCAGGACAGTATTTTGTACACTAACAGGTTGTACATAACTTTTCAATTCATAAATAAAGTAAATAAATTACAAAAAAATATTTATTCCATTCTTTTTTTTAGTTTACTTAATTAATGTACATAATAATTTTGCTACTTACTCCATACCAAATTGCAAGGCAAACCTAAGTTATTTGAAGTACATTTGAAACCAAGTAGAAGGATAAAACATAAGCAACTCAGTTTCAAAAACCAGGTTCAGTTCTTCTAATTCTGGTTGTGCTTTGGCATAATCACGTGTCATAATAATCAGACGCTTATTATGACACATATCAGGATAAATTTATAAAAAGGAAGGCACCACTTTCACGTAGAATAATCTGGTATGGAATAATTTCACTCCCAATTACACATAGTAAATTAAGATTGCTCTTCCATAATACACTAGTAATTCCTTGTAAATATAGATAAACTTACAAACAATACAATTTTTAACAATATAGTACATTTATATTTTGGAAAATAACAAATTCAAATAACTTGGTAACGAACTATGACAAAATTGAAATCAAGGGACGTTGTCATTGTTATAAAATTGCCTTTCATATGAAATCGAAAGAGAAAAAAAATCAAAAGATTTTGTATCTTGGCAATAATATAAATAAATAACTGAAAAAATGCAACTTTGACAGGTTAAAATTACAAATATATAGGAAATAAAAACTTTGCTTGCCTTCAAAGTATAGTGTTTTTATCAATCTAAATGCTTGTTTCTTACCAATTATATGTAATACTCGGCGTTATAGACATTTATAAAATTAACCAACAAAATTGCTCTCAAACAGCCATACTTTCTAGGACAGATTTGTGACTATTTTACACAGTGTACAGTATGGCAAAAACAAGAAATAATATCTCAGTGAAATGAAGATTTCTGACTTTATCTGGCCGGTTATTCGCCTACTCCCACCACAGACAATACAGCTGACAATGGAGTTGGGGATGAAGATACCGTAGACATCATTCGACATTGTTCTTTTACTACAGGATCTGTTAGAAAAAAATATATAATTTACTATATAATTGAAGGGCCTAGGAAAAAATGATAAGCGCCATTTTACTAATTTTACAGGAGAGCCCTGGACGGCTGGTGGTTATCAGGTTTTTACTAGGCATATATTATAGGATTTAACAGCTTATTTCCCTGCAGAGTTTATAAATGTTGTTGGGACCAATTAGACTTACTGTAATATTGTAAAACTCTAAAATTAAGAAATTGACACGTATCATGTTTTCCCTTGGACCCTTCAATTTTAAAAGGCAGTTATTTTTTATTTCTTCTGATATTTTAAAACAAGAAAAAAAGAAAAAAAATTGTCAGAGACGCCAACCACATTCAAATCAATTTAGTAAAATATTCTGAAAAATACTTTTTTTTTCGAAAAATATATGTATATAGGGTGTATGAAAAAACATGTGCCATCTCTCCTCAGATTCCTCACGTAAAGAACGTGAAGCATTAAACGGCCTACACAACTTTACCAGAGTAAGTAGATCGCCGAGTAGCGACAGAAACCGTCGGCTCTTTTGATATGGTGGGACCAAATTTTCTTTCTCTCTCTTTTGACGTGTTTGACAGATAGACTACGTATTTAACTGCTCAACTTATGAAGTGATCCTATAAACATGGTATACACTGCTCATAATTTGAAGTGGAATTAATTATAAAGTTTTATACATATTTTTTCTGTTTTGTTCCTTATTTCTAAATTTGAATGTATAAAATATCTTACAGCTAATAGTTAATTAAAAAAATGATTCGTTGCCTGAGGTATACTTGAAATAAAGTATATAGAGATATACATATATTTGATAAATGACAACAGTGGCAACTTCGTTTCTTCATATGACAGATAACCTACTTATTTTGCGCAGCCGCAAAGAAAATTGAAAACGGGACTGTCGCTACTCGGCGGTTTACTTACTCTGACTTTACTAACAAAAGTCAGTGGCGCACACACTTTTTAGAAAAATATTCCAGTGATAGCCCACATGCACGTCCCTGATGAATCTGTCAACACTTTTTTACCATTATAATGTGTAGCACTTATAGTAACTTTTATGCTCAAAATTTTTTTTATTAAACACTTAGAAGAAAATTATAATAAATCGAAAAAAAAAATAAGATTTTAACCCCCTGTAGCTGCGAAACAAAGCAGAATCAGACCTATGTTGATATAAAAAATATTATTTTTATGTAAGGAATTTCCTCACGAGATGGCACATGTTTTTGAAACACCCTGTATAGTTAAGCACATTAAGATTATATGCCAACTTGATTTGTAATAAAAACATTATTTGCACAAACAGAAAAAAATATACAAATTCTAATTAATTTAAGTTTAAGTTATTAATTAATTTCCTTATACCACAACACAAAAGTTACCAAAATGTGTATTTCAACCAAAGTTTAAAATAATAGAATATTGTAATTAAATAGGTTAATAAGCTTAGTCAGATACTTCGGAAGAAATTTTAAAAATAAAAGTTATAAAATGTAATAAAAATATCCCAAGGCAATTAAATTTCTTAGAAAGTATTTTTAGATGTGATCTATTCTGAAATAGAATTTTGTTAAATCTGAACAAGAAATAAGTAATTATATATAAAGCGGCAGCTTCCGTATAAAAACATTTAAATTTTAAAATACTGTTTTGTATTTTCAGGAAATATTTATCCTGGACATATTGGAAATAAGATTTCTTGAAAATTTATGAAATTAATTGTGGATATATTTTGAAGGTCCTATGAATCATCATAAAATTAAAGTTTATAAAATTAGCCAATTAGAGAGAACTGCAAAGAAAGAAAATTTATATCTTTAAGACCTAGTTTCTTTTACCTGAGAAACTTTGCCACTGACAAAAGTCGTGAAAAAAAGTCTTTCATTAAATGAAGCATAAAATTATAAATGACAATTTTTTTTATCTAAAATATCTGAGATTATGGTATAATATATGTAAAATAACAAGTTAATAAGTTTTATTATCAGACTTACAAAAATATGCATGTTCCATAGCATCCCTAGCTGTTAAACGCTCCAGATGATCGTAGCGCAATAATTTATCTAAAAAGTCCAGTGCTTCTGGTGACACTAAATGTTGATTCTCACTATGCACAAATCGTTCCCATCTTTTTCTTGAATGTCTGTAAAAATATTAAATCAATTGAAATCATAAAATTACAGATTGCAATCTTCTTTATCACATACCTTCCCAAAATATCATTAAACCTTGGATCTAATTCTATATGGTATTTATCAAGGTATTCAAAAAGCTCTTCTGTACCTAATACTTTAGCTATGCGAACTAGTTGGTCATAATTATCGTGTCCATGGAAAAAAGGTTCTTTCCTAAAGATCATGGACGCAAGCATACAGCCCAACGACCACATATCCAAAGAGTAGTCGTACATTTGATAATCTACCAACAGTTCAGGGCCTTTAAAATATCTAGATGCTACTCTGACATTATATTCTTGTCCAGGGTGATAGAACTCTGCTAAACCCCAATCTATTAAGCGTAGTTTTCTATTTTCATGATCTATCATGACATTATGGGGCTTAACATCTCTATGCATAATTCCCATACTATGACAATAATCTAGCGCTTTGAGCAGCTCATATAAATAGTATCTTATATCAAAGTCTGTGAGGGTTTGATAAAGATGTTTAAAGTCAATATTATTAACATGTTCAAATATTAATGCCGGTGTTCTAGATACAGGATCTTTTACAACCGCTTCTAAACTAATTATATTTGTACCTCCCCTAAGATTCTCTAATATTTTTATTTCTCTTTTGATTTTCTTCTTCTTTACAGGCTGTAAAAAAAGAACCAGTATTAGTTAGACTGCACTATAGATTTTTATTAATTAGTCCTAAAATTATATTACATTATTTTTCCTTAAGACTTTTAAAAGCAAAACAATTTCCTTCATCAATTTTTTATAAATATTAATAACTGTATGTAGCAAATTTATAAATATGGATCTAAAAAATATAACTTTTTTCGTCAGTTTCATGATAAGAAATAAGATGCCTACATATATATTGAAGTATCTTTTTTTATTGACTTAGTGTTTAATACTTTATGTGAACACAGTTTGTTGGTGCTGCTGATGAATGATACTATTTCTATTTCATCGTAATTTTGATATATTATATTAATACTCAATATAGTAAAACTCCTTTCTTATATTATGCTAATTTATAAAATTTCTCAGTCATGCTATAGGTATTTAAGGGAGCATATGTGATATTAAGAGTACTAATATTAAAACGGTACTTACTTTCAGTATTTTGACTACACATTTTTCACTATTGAGAACATTGATGGCTTCAAAAACTTCACTGTATTTGCCCCTGCCAAGCTTTCTGACCAGCTGATAATCATCTTGTTGTCCCCAATCGACTACATAACTTTCATAATCCCAATATTCACGAGGCTTATGAGAATTCACATCTGCATACACTCGGGCTCGACTAGGTACAACAGCCATACTATAAGTTACTGAATTTGTTACAAACTGCTTAACATAAGATCTTGATCCAGCTAAAAATGAAGAAGAAGGTAAAACGTGAAGCTGTCAAAAAAAAAACAGATGATAAGATTTTTTCCAAATCTCAAAACATTACAGTATTAGTGCAATAAACAAGTATTATATGAAATAAGGAAATAATGAGATATAGTACCTATGCAACACTAAATTCTGATAGGCTTTATTGGTGGTATTTAATAAACCTTTGTATATAGAGCAAGGAATGGTGTGAGGTACTACTAGCTAAAGGTAGCTCTAGTTACCTTGTTTAAAGCACAATTTTGCTAATCTAGTACATTTAATCAGCATTACTACGTAATAGTCTCCTCGAATTCGTATTTATCATAGTCAACAGCCTTGTATAGGTAGGCCCAGCCACACGCCATTCCCCACATACTAGACTAAAAAGATAGCCTACACTTAAATACTTCCTACCTAATTCATTCTGCTGATATTTAATCACGGAAATATTCGGTTTTCTGACACATAGCAATTTTAAATTACCCTCGAAAAATGTACTAAATTGAAACTCGAGCCGGCTTCTCGTAAAACAAGTCAGAAAAGAACCAAGATGGAAGAAACTTCCATACCGCCCGAGTAGACTGTATTTAAAGCTATTCGTAAGCCACTTATTCCAGTATAAGCTATACCCCTCTAAAACTACATTGCACGTGCAATGTTGTCAGATATAAAATTTGTATTAAAATTGAATCCTGCTTTATTTGGTATTGGGTAAAAATTCTTAAATTTATGAGAAATAATTCTGAGAGAATCACTTACATACTTATTCTTCCTTGTCTTTAAAATTTACACAACAGTTTTGCGTTTAATAATTTTTTAATAATAATAATAAGATAGATTGGCATTGATCCGGATAAACGAATAAAACTAATGGGTAAATATAATTTTGTTTTCTTATTCAAGTTCATAACGACGGCTAATTACCGGGACATAATTTATTTTCAGTTAACAAGTTAACCCGTGCTTTAGAGCAGTAATATAGCTGCAAAAATTTAAAAAGTAAAAAATATTAGGGACTTTTAAATTTCGCAAAATAAAACTGACAACGCCGATGGAGGACAGAGGCGTGCATGTAACCTCTCGATAACACGTGCTGATATTTGTACGGTTAAAGGGTCTTATGGATTACAAAATGAATTGTAAAAAATTACTTTGAACACTACAAAGCAGATACTTGCTTACCTGGTACCTAGGGAACCATGAAAATAAAGTATAAAATTAATTATGTTGCAACACCACTGTCCAAGGTATAAAAAAGATAATTGTTTTGTCTGCCATCTGCCAGTCTGACAAACGTCAGCTAAGTTTTATTCGTGTAGCCAATAATGTAATTAAATAGAAGTATTTTCTGTGGAATAAGCACTAACGTAAAATGTCACATTTGGTTAAAATATTCCATATTTTTTAAAATGAATTCGCGATAATACCGAATTCGCAAATTATCAAACTTTTGTTATTGAATATGATACGCCTGGGAAGTGGGAAGTCCCCAAGTATTATAAATAAAAGCTGGGTAAAAAACTGGAACAGGCGCGTGTTCAAATGCTATTAAGATACACGAAAAAATAAAATAAAGTAAGATGTGCGATTTGTATGCCATTTTTCAGTTATCTTTTGTCTAGCCGGGCTAGACTAGCCCCAATAGGTGAAACTTCTATGCCATAGAGAAACTTTATTTTTCTCTATGTTCTATGCCTTCTATGCTTTCCGCACAGCGTGCCCATAGCGCAAAAAACTATGTATTTTAAACATAAAAAATTTAGAAATTTTGACACACCCATCCCTGTTTATAGAATAGCCTTCTATTAAAAGATCTTAGAGAACGGCAGTGAATAGGCTCTTACTTTTGACGTATGACACTAGTCCATAGACACTAGCCGTTGTATTGGGCACCAGTCATCAGATGAGCATCATTTGGCATATTTCTGCAAAATCTCAAATACGTTTAAATATATTTTTTTAATTTTATTTAAACGAATTTGCAAAATCTATAGAATGTTTAAAAAAATTGGTAATTATTAATTGAAAGTTGGATTTTTTCAAAAAAAAAATATTAGGCAACACTTAAAACAATTATTCATAGCAAAGTTATGTAAAGTTTCCTTTATATTTCCTTCTTATGATTACTGATTTCATTTCTCGGTTTTTTTAGGATGTTTGTGGTCGTGACGTGTTTTCAACAATGGCATTTCCAGATAATTGGGATAATCAGACATTTGTGATTTTCACAGTTTCTTCAGATTTTTCCATGCATCACCATATACTCGTATCTGCTGAGACCTGCTGAAAAGTAGGACTACCAAAGATATTTTTGGGAAGTACCAAATCTTCAGAGATCGTTGGGTATCCATGGAGTTAATAGCATTCTACATGTATTGCGTATTGAGACTGAAGAAATACGAAGGTACTTATACTGTAATCTATAGTAATACCTTTGGAACCTTTGGTGTTACAACAGCAAAATAAAATACTAATTCACCACACTACACTAAAACAATTTACTTTTGCACTGGACGCGCGTTTCGCTAAAACGTGCGTTCAGTACATGTTCAGTATTGTGGCGAATTACAGTGTTTTAATTTGTTGTTTTAATTTTGAGTACTTTCAATAAATAGTTTAATTTTCTACAGTATATTTTTATATACATACACTCAAAAATTATATTAAATTATAAAAAAATACATATATTAATCAGAATTAAAAAGTCTACATAGATATTATTTTTAAACTCTGGGTAAATATTTTATTTGGAGAGGCATTACTGGTTGTCTTTCTTTAGGTTAAAGAAGCCGATTATTTTCAAAAATAAATCGCTTCCAATTTTGAATGGTTCTAAAATTCAATAAACATCTTTATGTAAAAATCATTAAATACATGGTAAAAATACAGTGTATAAAATATCCACATTGCAATTTGTCCGTTTAGAATTCCTTATTTTCCCATTATTCCCACTATTTAAATATAGTAAAAAAGTAATAAAATCCTCGCACCAATAACTACCAATAACGAACTCAGTTTCGTATATGCTATTTTAAAATAGGGTATAAATTCTCTTAAATAGGTAATAGATAGAAAATATAACAATAAAGATCAATTTTTTATGCTTATTTACATTTTTTTATTTTATAACAATATATTTTGGCACTTTTTGACCCACTTTTTAGTAATTCAACCCACTATCTAAAATTCAATTAACATTATTTTTAACAAAGAGGGCCCTGATTTCAACTATATGAAAATACTTCCTTCTTATTGGTCAACTCACTTATATGTCACCGCGACTTCCGGAAAATGGCGATCAGAGCTAAATATTTTTGAATGCCGGGACAGTGGCCATATTCATATCTCCTTCTCGCTGGCACTTAAAATTTTCTGATGTTTTAATTAAAACTGAATTTCATGTAAACTATTTGTTCGTAAATTCTTGTTTGTACATCGCTCAGTTTCTCAAAGAAGTGAGTACTTGATATTTTCTTTATATTTCGTATATCTCCATTAACATTTTTTATTCTCAAACTGGAGGCATAGTTCTGGAGGCTAATTAAAGTTAGAATATATAGGGTAAAATTAAGCTTTTTAATTTTTATTTTTTTATATGGAATGTTTTATTTATTTTTCTTATACCATTCATTAAGTACCGTTTTAACTGTATCCTTATATAACACTGATTTCATGTTTTTCTTGAACTGTGATACGATATAACCGCATAAGTAAAATAATTCCTCTCGAAAAATCCCTTGGGAAATAAACATTTTTGATTTGAGATTTTTTGGAATTTGTGCATGAATGTGATATGCAACATATTTTTCATGAATTTGTTTTTTTAGCCAGATGAAATATTGCAAGACGAGTGTGATGGGTCCTAAAGACACAGACTTATCACTTTTTTCAAACTTTTTTCTTTTTTCTTCGGATTCTCCCAGATCCCGTAGAATACCTGGTGACGTGTTAAGTACCTACTCTGTCGATGTCCAGGGAGTTGGGTAATTTACCATGCCCATGTGCAGCTTGATGAAGCAATCTAGAAACTGGAATATGCTTGTCAAAAATGTAAGTTTTAAATTGATCTACTGAAGGTTTGTATTGTTTAGATTGAGATAATTTCAATATTACTTTATTATGAGTAATTCCATTTACTATTAACTATCATATTTACTATTTACTATTATTTAAATCATATCTTATGAGAAAAGCTAGAAATTAATTGTTTCTTTTATTTTAGGAAATACTGCAGTATGGTCTAAAGACTCTGGTCTGTCCATTCATATTTTGATCACAATGTAACAGCTGTAAAAGTATATTGTCCTAGCTCATTAAACAATCTGGAAGTGGCAACGTTCTGTTACAAATTAAGTTCATAATTTTATTAACCCTAATAGCTGCCCGATTTGATTGGTTCAATGAATGTCTGAAACACATTTTAGAGTACGATAAAGCCAATACTTATTTATTTATTTTATTTTAGGGTATCTATATTACAATACATATTCCTAACACTTGGCTAACCTCCCATATGTTGATGGAACAGCAGCAGTAGATTGTCTTGACCAAACCAAACCAAATCTCAAAATTGATAGAGCTACCAGCATTCTTCTTAAAAGTAAGAAACATTTCTAATTTTGTACTTAAGGCTGATTTACACGTATCCTGATGCTAGCGCCAGTTTCACTAGAAAGCCGGCAATGTATGGTAGTGGTACCGTGTAAACACTTTTTCGTGCCTATGATTGGTACGGAAATGTGTTTACATGGTGTCATAACCATGTCAGTGAAAGTGGTGCCAGGTACTGGATATGTATGAAGTGTGAATCGGCGTTTATATTCTTTAGAACGAAGGGCAATAATAAAAGACGAAAAAGATATACCGGGTGCGTCTCAAAAGTGACTCACCCTTATAACTTTTTTATTTTTTCAGTTAAAAAAACCAGATTTGGTATGATAGTGTATGACATAAATTAGGATTGATTGACATATTCAATTGTTTTCGGTCACTTCCTGTTTCACCGGAAATGACTACAACTTTTGATTTTTAAATCGCACCCTCGGTTATTTTTTTACTTTATTCTATAGAAAATAATACTCTGAATAGAATGACAATATCATATGTCAACTTTTGATATTTTCGCATATGGTTTATTTGAAATAATAACTTGCGATTCGTAACGAAAATTTGACTCAAAATACCAAGTGTGTGGTATCAAATTATTTGTAAAAAAAATGCTTTTTCCAATTATGGTAATGAGCTACCCTCGTTCCATTTGAAAAAATTAAGATATGATTAAAAATACGATTTGAGCATTTTCTAACTGGCCAGGACAAGAACTAAAAACATTAGACGATCGAATCTATTTTTCCAAGGCTCCTTGATTAAGAATTAGTGTATTTAACACAGCCATGGCACTCTAGATTGAAATTTAAAATACAATTTTTTATTAAGCCAGAATGTCAACAGTTGACATATGATATGTCATTCTATTCAGAATGTCATTTTCTATTGAATAAATAAAAAAAACCGAGTGTGCCCTTTACAAATCAAAAGTTGTAGTCATTTCCGGTGAAACAGGAAGTGACCAAAAACAATTGAATACTTTGATTGATAACTGATAATCTTCTTAGATATTTAGATAACATTTCTTGAATATCTTACAAAAATACTTGTTACTTATAAGCCGTCTTACAGTATTTTTACTTGTAGGTATTTTTTTGATGCTTCTGGCTGTTGCTTCCCTCCTACTCCTCCTAATTTTTAACAGGATTCACACACAGCAAAAAATTTCCCGATATACCAAAAGATTTGTTCTGTATATTATATATATAGTCTGTAAAACGAATAACTTTGAATTTGACAGTTCCCGCGGGCTTTTCTAGTGTAAATTTTATTAGGTTAGCAACATAGACTTAGAATAAAATATAGACTGAGCATCTCATTCATAAATAGCTGGAAGATGCGGACAGACAACGTCTTGTTATTGTTGTGTTATTGTTTTTGGCTCTAACGAGTGCGACACGAGCGATAGATAGGCTGTCTCCGTCGTAACGGTCGTTTCCTGACGGCTCTGCCGCCCAACGCAACACTGTCTTTTTGTTTCTTCAGTGCACCTGCACTCTCTCCGTATCATAGGCGGGTATTTTTTTAATTTTAATGAAGCTATAATTCAATTAAAATATATCGTATTTAAACTTTTTTATATTATTAAGATTTAGGATAAAGAAAATAGTTTAATATAAAGCAAAGTTTAGGACTTAGAAAAAAATACGTCTTAGAGTCTAAAAACGATAAAAATAATAAAGTACGTGTTATAGAAGAAATTTTAATAATCGAAATTATTTAATTTTTGAAATTGATGATAAATTATTAATTTAATAAAATATTAATTTTAGTCAAACATTTACAACTCTAATATTAATCAAAACAGGATCTATTCTATAGATATAATAGAACAGAAAGAGAAAAAACTTTATAATTGTTTAATTTTTTTTTCCGGTAAAAGTGATGTCTTATTATGTAAATTAGAAAAAACAGGAATCTGTTCCATTAAAGCAAGCTTTTAGGAAGTGAATAAAATGAAAACTACATTTATTTAACTCGTTACTGTCTTTATTATAGAGTAAGTATAATAATGGTAATGGTGACTATACTTTATTCAATGGAAATATGCACCAAATTCAAACAAATATAAAAGGCATGAGTATAAACAGTATTACTACAGTAATATTGAACATTGGTTCAAAAATATTACATTAATATAATACAATATTACTGTAGGTATTACTGTCAACGTGCAAGCTTGTTTGAAGCTTGATGTATTTGTATGCGCTTGGTACATCTTGGCGTTGGAAAATGTATAGAAAATTATTAAGAAAAACTAGTACGTAATGGGGGATATCTTGATATACAGAGTGGTCGGAATTGTATTCAGGAAACTTTGGCAGCATAATCTGCAAATAAAATCAGTAAAAAAAATAGTATAAATTTATGTCCTAAAATGCTTCGTTTCAGAGATACAGAGTGTAGAAATTTCATTTTTATTTCGCTTTTTTCCAAATAATTTATGAAGAATGTATTGATTAATTCGTTTCCAAATATCTTGAGAACTATACTTGTGGCGAGTGTCAACAAGAGACCTTATTAAGTAAAAAACGTTGGAAATGTAAATTTTTCTCAGTAGTTTTATATAGATACAGACAAAAAGTATTACTCTTCAAATAACTTAAAAAATATGTAGGTGGCGCCCCCTATTAGTAAAAGTCAAATTGACATCTAAATCTAATTTTTCATGTCAAAAAACTCCCAAACGCCAATTTTCGTCCAAATATTGACGTCACTTCAGAAATTATTTGGAAAAAAATCGAAATAAAAATGAAACTTCTACACCCTGTATCTCCGAAACGAAGCATTTTAAAAACTTACAAGTTCATTTTTTTAGAAAGCCAATGCAACATTTCTGAGTTTCAAATAAAGATAAAAAACAGTAAAACATATAATAATAATATGTAAATTATTTTCTTGGATACATACATATATGGCAAATAATAACAGATTGTTTTATTAAAGATTTACGTTTTGGTTAATTCTAAAACTATCTTCAGATTATATGTGATATTACTTAAGTGATATTACATTATAAAAGAAAAAATGAAAATTATACCTTATAATCGAAAAAAAACGGCGTCAGCGATGGCTATGAAATGAAGATCGCTGTCATTTTATATGTAAAATTATATGGAGTATGTATCGATGGTTTTTTCCAAGCCAACTGGACGCCGTTTTTTTCGATCATACGGTATTACAAATTAATAATAGATTAACAGTCGAGAAAAAAAAAGAAAAAACTCTAGGTAAGTACTGGATAAATTTTAAAATGGCATATTTATTTTATCTTTGTTTAATATAAAAAAAACGAAATATCTACCTGGTTTACATAACCCTGTATAATTTGTGAAATAATAATGGACAAAAATGCAAGCGGTAAGAAAAATATTTACAAAAAATATGTACTTGTTTACATTTCTGGACCATTGTTCGTCATTTTTGTTATCATAATGGTGACCCTATCATAAAAACGTAGTTATTTCTATACCTGATGTGAAACTATAGGGAAAAAGTAATGTTTGTAAAATATTTTAGTCTTGAAAAAAAATAAGGAATGTTTGGTATTTTAAAATGTTTGGTAGCTTGTAATTTTTTCGACTTTCTCGATTGTTTATAGTTTATAATAAGCCTTAAAAATTGTTGTTTCATAATGGAATATCATTCTGGAATTCCTGTATGTTATTTTAGATTCTAAGGATGGTTTTAGAATAAAAAGAAACACATTTTTCATAAAAAAAAGCATTAAATTAACCAATGCCCAAGAAAATAATGTGTCTACTTCTTATGTACTTAATAATGTATCTACTCGTTATATTAATAACGAGGTTAGTAAGAACCTTTACGTAAATGATAAATATAAAAAATACAGATTTTCCAGGGTTTATAATTTACTAAATTATTATCTAAATAAGCGCCTTTCTACAACGCCACTGACGCCAAAATAGTAAATTTGACTTACCTGTGGAATGTTGTTCCAGGACTTAAATAGTCCAATTTCTTACAATTTGGCACTGACGAACGTTTTTAAAATAAAAAAGTAATCAAAATAAACACTAAACCGACACTACACACTAAGAAAATCGAATCCAAAAAATACACAAAATCAAAACATCCAATAAAAACAATAAAATAGCCATGGAGAAACTGTGACAACAAGGTTTTACGACACGTGCTTTACTCTACTATGGCTCCACTACGAGAGAGAGAATAAAGAATGAACAGGCGACCCGGCGATTGATGGGTGTTGCCAAATTGTAAAGAATTTGTCATTTTAAATAGTCTCCGACTTATAATTTAGTAGTATAGGGACTATTTAATACATCTTTCTACTATTAAACACTACTTTATTAAAATACAGTTTTAATATCTCAATATATGTGTATAACAACAAAAAAAATATTAATAATATTTTAGACGTGACAACATAGGCTGGAGGCGAAAGACTCAGACGGCCGAGGTCAGCTGCACCCAGGAGTAAACATGTTTACAAAAATTAATATTGGACCGCGCTTAAATGTAAATAGTGTAGTCTATATTTTATTCTAAGTCTATGGTTAGCAACTTGCGGCCATGCTGATGCAATGCCGTCTCTAATAGAACAGCCACCGAGCGAGATTTATGACGTCACGCTAGTTAGATACTATGGATTAATTATGTTGAAGAATACATGGAAAACATAATTGTTCCTCGTATATGTAATTTTTTGGATTATATTCGACACTATTTTTTTCATATGACACAACACTGATGAAGGCTATAAATGTTAGCTATAACGTTTTTTTAAACCAACAAAAATAATGAAAACCCAAATAAAAACTTAATCAGCGTTTTTCCCGAACCTAAATCCCAAGAAAATCAAAAATTTTAGAATAATTTTACATATAAAATGACAGCGATCTTTATTTCATAGCCATCGCTGACGCCTTTTTTTCTATGATATTGTATTATTTGGAAATATAATTTTTCGAACATTGATGCTTGCAAAATATAGATATAAATTTTGTGAATGGAAATAATAATATATCACTATTAGTAGATATTGAATGTTTTTTGTTAAATTAGATCGATTTTCAAACCCCAAAATTTAAAATATATTTTACATTTCACCCATTATCTTATGTACCTCTTCATTATTTGTATATTGTAAGTATATTGTAAAACATTTATTAACTGTATATTATGTGTATTTCATGTAAACTATATCATTCTTAAAATACAAACCAAAAATACGAGGAATAATTATGTTTTCCATGTATTCTACAACATATTTATTAATCCGTGGTATCTAACTAGCGTGACGTCATAAATCTCGCTCCGAGACTGTTCTATTAGAGACGGCGTTGGTCTGATATTTAGAAATGTCAAAGGCTGATGACATTTTACTTTTGTCATTTATGACATTTTGCGTTGATTTTTGCAAGAAGAGGAAGAACCGTCACTTGTTTTATTATTTTCCTTTTCTATTTCACGAAAGTAAAAAGAGTTACCTATCTGATTCGTTCAGGCACTCATTTTAAAGAATATCAGTAACTTTTTGGACAGAGAGATTTTATATTTGCCATGTTGGTAAAAAATAACGGTCAAAATTCAAAGTTATTCATTTTATAGACTATATCATTTATTTTTATTCTTCTAGTTGTAAAACTTTGATAATCTGGACAAACTTTATAATTTAATAATGTCATTATACTGCAGGAAAAGTTATGTAGCTGATAATTTATCCTTCATTTCTAAAATTTGAATTTTATTTAAAATGCTGCTTGTATTTTGTCTAAATATTTTTTTTGTATAACGGTAATCTCAATTTTTTATAAATGGGGATTGTTTGTATTTTTATTAATTATTTTTTTTTATTTTTTTTTAATTAAAAATCCCATTTATTTATTTATTTACAAAAGACTGGGATGCAACAGAAAAACATTCTTTTATCAATCTCTAATATACTGACGACGCTGTCATTATTTTTATATCTGTATTTTATTTACTAACTTCTGTAGTGTATTACTTATGACATCTTTCACATTTTTGTAACTCATATTGGTTCTAATTAACAATCCATAGAATTTCCAGATTATCACAGTTCTTTATTATATTTTACTTGCCTAAAGGTTAAATTACTTTACTGTTATTGTCCGCTACAATTTCTTGTAGCCGACAAGGAAAACTTTTGGCTGCATGCACCGAGCCAGGGACCAAGGTGGCGTTAGAAGAACTTCTATATGCCGCCTTGTCCTTTCCTCGGAACAGCCATATGGCAGTTCTGCTTAGAACTGTTTTTTGTAATCATCAGAGCCTACTTAATTTCATAATACTATGAAATCAAGTAGGTTTTATGGGTACGCCTACCGTGTGTGTATAATATATATGTCGTAGTCACATAGTGTATTCCGTCTTTTCGTGAAGTTTCCTAGTCACTTCATGAAGCGTCGGTTAGGTTAGCACTAGTTAGCAGGCTAGTTATGTTATTAAGTTAGTTTTTTTCATTAAGTGACTATATGCTCTTCGTGAAAAGACGGAATACACTATGAGACTACGACATATACATACTAGTATACCACAGTAGGTAATATATAATATATAGTACCTACATGTGTTGTGTATGTATATGTTACGGTTTAAGTCCGATGTCCGGTTAATGTGGACATTAACAGGTTAATGTTTGGGTTTGGTTTTGTTTTTGGTTGTTTTATTGTTGTTTTTGGTGTTATTCTCTAGATAAACCGGGTAATGTCGACATTAACTGGATATTGGACCTTAACCGTAACATATATATTAACTGTACATACAAGTGGCACACTATGTGCTTTTAAGTACATAGTTTGTCGCGTATATGTATCAAACATACGTGTGTCTAGGTAGGTACTATAATAAATATTACCTACTACTCTGCATGTTGTGTGTGTGTGTCATAAAACATACATAACACATACAGTAGGCGTTGGTAATTTAGAATTTATTATACTATTTAAACCCTGTTGGTTTTTTAATTTTTAATAAAGCTGTTTTAAAGAGAATGCTGGTTTTCATATTTTTAAATTTAATTTTTTATGCGTGAGCAGCGCCCTCTGGTACCGAAATGCTGAAACTAAATTTTTAGTTCAGCGTTTTGCCGCTAGAGGCGCCACTTGTTCAAAAATTTATTCGATAGTAGCGCCATCTGATGTTAAAAGTCTGAAACTAAATTTTTAGTTTAGCGTTTCGCCGCATTGGTGGCGCCCTCTGGTGGTAAAATACGAAAACTAAATTTATAGTTCAGAATTTTGCCGTTAGAGGCGCCACCATCACAAAAAATTATTCGACTGTAGCGCCCTCTGGTGTTAAAAGGCTGAACTTAAATTTTTTTGTTCAGCGTTTTGCCGCAAGAGGGCGCTACACATGCGACAGCTGGCGGCGAAATCCTAAACTATAAATTTAGTTTCACCATTTTGCCACCAGAGAGTGCTACTTTCGCATAAATTTTTGAGCGACTGTGGCGCCCCTAGCGATAAAACTGTGAATTAAAAATTTAGTTACATTCTTTTGTCACTAGAGGGCGCCACAGACGTTCATAAAATATTTTAAAAAAATAAATAAAACAACCAAATATTTGCAAAATATTATATATTTATATTTTTTAAGTTATCAAAAAGAGTGTCCGGTTCAAGAGATACTATATTTTAGAGTTTTTGGTCTCCGTCAGTGTGTATTTTACACAACAGGGATACATATGTGTGATTATACATACAGTATTTTGGTGTGTGTGGAGATATATTATGCCGCGTACACACTTAGCGAACGCATACGTTCGACCAAATCCGCACACATGCGGTGATTTTGTTTGAAGTACCGTATGATCGAAAAAAACGGCGTCCAGTCGGCTGGGAAATGACGATCGATGACATTTTCCCATATAAACTTACTTATAAAATGACAGCGACTTAGCCATCGCTGACGCCGTTTTTATTCGATCATACGGTACTTTTTCGCTGTTTGCTGTTACGTACACACTTAGTGAACGCATCATACATCTGTTTGCGTGCGGTAGTATTCCCTTTGAAGTACCGCCAAGTCAGCGAACGCAACCGCATGGATTCGTTGCTACGTACACATTTCCGGAATTCGTTCGTTCTAAGCCATGCGGCCGTATGCGTTCGCTAAGTGTGTACGCGGCTTTACACACACGACTATTCCATCAATATCAGTGCGGATATGTAGTATACACACCCATACTCCTGTATGTATATGCGTTTAGTACAGATAGGCGCCACACTGAAAAGGTACATTCAGGCTGAGAGTGTCGAACGTCGCGTCGCGTTTGCGTCGCGTCCGCCCCTTTGAACTCGACCCCCGACGCTCAGCGGATGCTAGCGCAACGCCATAGATCGCAACGCCAAACGCGACGCTATCTGCTTGAACGGTCTAATTTAAGTAAAGTGAATTGATCCCATTTCGACACGCAGGCGCGACGCAAACGCGACGCGACGCTCGACGCTCTCAGCCTGAATGTACCTTAAGAAGTAAGAGAATAGTAAACTAAATTATTACATGAAATAAAAAAAAATGGATACATAATAGACATAAATATTGAGAAATGTGCAACTAAATATATATAAAACAGAGTTACAATTTCATCATGCCTTTTAAATTAAATTGTTAATTAATTAATTATAATAAGTACTCTATGCTACAAGTTAATTCTTCATATGCTAAAAATTACTTTCCATAATTTAATTTCTCATAATAACTGCTACTGGTTTTAACTGATGTATAGATAAATATAAAAAAAAATCTTAAAAATAACTAATAACTCATTTACGAATACAAATATGTAGACAATCTATGGTTAAACTAAACAAGAACAATGCCAGCATATCAAGAACAATAATTATTGTACTTATAAAGTGCTTATATTAATTTTTAAAAGGAGCTCTATGAATACACCTACAACAAAATTTTATAGTTGTAACAGTATTGGCATTGGCAAGCTGCTTTTAGACTTAGAGCACGCACGCACTGAGCCTTCGCGAATGCTCAAGTGTAAACAGCTGTGCGCTCACTCTGAATCTGTCTGTGCACAAGCAGCCACGAACGCGAGCCGTCTGGTGTCGGTTTTTGGTCGGTGCTCAAAGGGAATTTATCTGAGTTTGCACCGGCAATTTATTTTGTGTACGTGCGTGCGTACGTTCACCAACACAACTCTGCTGTTCGCGCACAAGTGAATAACTTCATTCGTTGAAGAATAAGTTTTTAATTTAAACTGAGCCGAGACCCCGAACAAATGCCGTTCGCGTACGCTCAGCTCGTGCGTGCTCAAGTTTAAACGCATCTTCACATCGAACACTGCAGAGACCAATATTTTTTAGTCATAAAATATCTATTAGGTATATACTATAAATTCACAAAAAAAATACTTTTTATACTATTTAGGGTAATTATCGGTTAAAAAAATGTATAATAAACATTTTGGAAAATAAAAAAGTTAGTTTTTATGGGTAAAAGAAAATTTACAGCAATTAAATACTGTTGTAAAGCAATTTAAGCCAACTCAGTTAATTTATCAGTTACTAAATAATTTTGTCAGTTAGTTATAATTATAAAGCTTTAATATTATTCATAGTATTAAAATAATGATAATGCAAAGGCTTGTAAATTTTCATTGAATAAAATAGCAAGAATTATGAGAATTTATAATTATTATTAAAAAACTAAATTAAAATATGGATTACTATGTACTAAAAGTGCCTAAATACCGCTTCGGAACCACGGCGCGATGCGAACCGTATTTTTCATTTCTTTGAGCTTTGAGGGCTGACTTGTTTTACCTGTAGATAGAGAAGTGCAGTATTAGAATAATTTTAGAATAACCCCAACATAAGCATAAAATGTATTACGAACTTACCACCATTCTCAATATTTCGCCAGTATTTCTTCAGTTCCATTATAATTAAAAGACGAAATGGCAGTTAGGTCAAGATAATGGCGAATGCCCCAACTCTCTGGACCTGGACATCGGACGACCCTCTAGAGTTGGTACTTAACACGACACCAGGTATTTGATGATGCCTGTGAGAATCCGAAGAAGCTTTAGGACCAATCGCACGCGTTTTGCAATATTTCTTCTGAAATCTTCTTTTATTTAAACGCGCCACGAACTCAATTATCCTAGAAAAATACAGCAAAATAATCAGTTTAGGAAATCTTAACGGAGAAAAATAAAATAAACTTACTTTAATTGTTTTACGTCAGGCGGATGCAGAACAAAAAAAAATCTTCACGTCGCGTCCATGGTTTGGTTCCCTTCTGCAGATTTAACTCTTTCTGATGATTATGCTTCACCAGTCACTCTCCATCCCAATTAAACATCCTCATCTGAGATCATCTCTTTTGTTATCGAGAGACTTATCACTGGGACTCCCTACAGGCCTAACCCCCCTACTCATCTTCGAATATGTTCATATAATGTCCCCTACACCCTCGAGGTGCCACGCAATACGTGCATGAAGAAGTCTTTTAGCTTGGGTGCCACGTCGTATCCGGTCAAAGCCACTAAAAACCTAGCTCGTAAACAAGAGGGTTGTGTCTCCTTCCAGATAGGTCGTTGGGTACCTATACATGCTATATAGGTCATCGTAAAGGCAGAACACCAAGTTCAGAAGATGATCCAGGTCTCCTCTACAGAAGAAGGCAGCGTCGTGCTCTGGAACGTCACTTCTTGGTCCAATCCGTCGGGACACCATCGGCAAAATTTACTTACGAAAAATTTAATTAACTGCTGCCATCGAATTAATTAATAATATCCCTGTCGGTTCGGCCGCTGGGTCAGAGTGTGCTGATGTCTACTATTAAATCGCATCTGAAAAGAAAACACAAAAAAATGTAAGGCCTTTGTGGCTAAAAAAAAAGGAAATTCATGAAAGATATATTACGAATCACAGTTACAAATTCAAAAAAATCTCAAATCAAAAATGTTTATTTCTTACCCAACGGATTTTTCGAGAGGTATATTATTTTACTTATGCTGTCATATCGTTGAAAAGAATAAGATGTTATTATAAGTTAAAAGAATAAAATGTTAGATTGTATATATATATATATATATATATATATATATATATATATATATATATATTATATATATATATATATATATATATATATATATATATATATATATATATATATATATATAGTGTATATATAATAATATATATATATATATATATATATATATATATATATATATATATATATATATATATATATTCCCAACAAGTGGTGATACGAGTCAAATAGAGAACTACAACATTTGGTGGCAGCGACTACAAGATTGGTGACGACGGTGGTCCAATCCAGGATCACGACAATATATATATATATATATATATATTAACATTTTATTAAAAAACATAGTCGAGCATAGCGAAACAACTAACAGAGATTGTAAAAATTTCAACTGGTAAAAGCCCCCTTCAAGTTATTACATAATATTATCAGTAAGCACGGATATATCTCTACTTGTCTCTACCTATCATTTTTTAACATTGATTTTAGGGCTTCAGACCAATTTGAAACTGATAATAAGGCCTCAGTTAGGATACTGCATTAATATAAATTCACAATTTAACAACGACTAACCCTAATGGCTTTTTTTCTTTATATTATGTAACATTGAAAAAAATCACCAAACCAAAAATAAAGTTTATAGAACCTTATACAGTATTAAAAGTTGAAAAAAATGTTAAATGAAGATATAACGAAATATAAAGAAAATACTAAGTACTCACTTTTTTGAGAGACTGAGCGATGCACGAACAAGAATTTATGAACAAATAGTGTACACGAAACTCATTTTATATTAAAAAACACGAAAATTTCAAATGCCCACGACAAAAATGCGGATCTCGCGGCCTTTAAAAGTGTTTAGCTCTGATCATGCTCTGATCGCCATTTTCCGGAAGTCGTGGTGACATATGCGAGCTGACCAATAAGAAGGAAGTATTTTCATATAGCAGAAATCACAGCCGCCTTTGTTAAGAATGTTATTTTAATTTTAGATAGTGGCTTGAATTACTAAAAAGTGGGCCAAAAAATGCCATAATGGATTGGATTTATTATTTATTAAAATGTAAATAAGCCCAAACTTATTTTTATTGTTATATTTTCTATCTATTTAAGATAATTTACACCCTATTTTAAAATAGCATATACAAACTGAGTTCATTTGGTGCCAGGATTTAAAGTTTTACTATCTTTATTATTTAGTGAGAAAAATCGAAAAATAAGAAATTAGTGGTTTGACAATAAGGCCACGAATTCTAAACGGACACGTGGACCATCACAATGAGGATATTTTATGCACTGTATTTTTTTTACATGAAAATGTTTACATGAAAAAAGTAATTCCAAAAAACTATATGGAGAAATAAGCGATTTAAGTTTTGCAATGAAAGCAAAGAGACCTTAGATTTCTTACCGTTAGACATGACTAGACACAAACCATACCTTTTCTTTATTTCTTTTGACATTCAGTTATAAAGATTTGCAAGATAAATAGAGCAGTAGATACAATCTACCTTAAGCACAAATTATTACTACAAACTTACCATCTTTCATGTTCTTTAGTCAGTATTTTTTCATTCCATTTTAAACAGTTATATTGATTTGTCTCTGCCATAGGGCGACGTGTGATGTATAGAGTTAAATTGTGTCTGAAAAGAAATAACATAGTGGCCTTAAATAAAAGATATTTGTAAAATTATCTATATTTACACTTAAATACACATAGGACAAAAAAATTCAGTAACTTTGATATACTTATTTTGACCGCTCAAAGTGTATTATTTCTTTTGTATAAATATACCTATTGCAGCGTAATTTAATTCACTTTAAAGTTAGATTATTATCATAAATAAATTAAGAGTATAATAATACATAAAATAATGGATAAAAAAATTGAAAAGACAACATTCAATCAAATCACTAGCTATTTGGGATAAACGTTTTGGCACAGTTATGGCCCGTGGCTGGGCAGGAAAATAATTAAACAAATACAAAGATATATATAACACTACTGTTTGGAGAGACTGAGCAAAGGTTATAACTGAAGTGTTGAAACTGCATGAAGAAAACAAACTTTTTCTATTATAAATACCAATGAATAAATACAAAAATAATTTATGTTGTCGGTGTATCTTTCAACAGTGTTTCAACGTTTCAACCACAGTTTCAACCACAAAACACTATACACAAAAGAGTTTCAACCGTTTCAACCTTTTTGCTTATATTAAGAAGCTGTTTGAAGTTTCAACCACGGCTCACGGCTATACCATAGATAGAAGATAGACTATACTCAAATATGTTTAAAATAAAGCTGTATGCACACTGGCGCGAACACGGCCGCGATCACGATCGCGATCAGGGCAGCAATAATATGAGCGATCATTCTAGCACACACCAACGCGTTCACGTTCACCGCCGCACCTATATGTAGTGAGCTATCCTGTAGGAATGATCCCTCATGTTATCGCTGCCCTGATCGTGATCGCGCCAGTGTGCGTACAGCTTTAAGCTTTATTTTAAGCTTAAAGCTGTACGCACACTTGCGCGATCACGATCACGATCAGGGCAGCAATAATATGAGCGATAATTCTAGCACACACCAACGCGTTCACGTTCACCGCCGCACCTATATGTAGTGAGCTATCCTGTAGGAATGATCGCTCGCATGTTATCGCTACCCTGATCGTGATCGCGGCCGTGATCGCACCAGTGTGCGTGTAGCTTAAAGCACAGAATATCTAGCTACGCAACAGAAAAATACTTGAAATGAAAGAGCTAAAATTGCACAAATAGAATACTAGATGGCGCGACAATATCATAATCAGAATATAATTAGAAATTTTGAACTTTCGGTTTTGGATCGACGGCTCGTCGACGGCCTTATAGCTCGGCTAAATATGCACAGTTGCCAGATTCAAAAAGACTTGAATTGGCATCCCATTCTTTTTATTGTGTATAATGCAATATGTGTTTCTTTCTATTCTTCTTTTCTTGTCAAATACACTTATATTAATTATTCCTTTGGCACAGAATATCTAGCTACGCTACAGAAGCCTCGTTACATGTATAAAACTGTAGGTAGCAAAAGGAGACAGGCTTTAAAAGCCTGTCTCCAAATCAGATATTTTGATGTGGTAGTTTCACTACTACATAATAGAGGGCAATAAATTTAAAAGAAAGCAGTTTTCTACAAACAAAATTTAAAAGAATTTTGTGTGCAGTGTTGCCATTAATATTAATTCATATCGTAATACTTCCTGATAAAGCCTACCTTCAAATTTGCTACATCAATTAAACATATTAAAATAAATCAGAGCTGTTTCATTGTAATTCGGCGACAATATAATAAGTATTGTTCAACTATTATGATACCACTTCCTGACGTTCGATTGTGTTACCAAGTTCATACCGTACAATCGGGAAAAAACGGCGTTAGCGATAGCTATGAAATGAATATCGCTGTCATTTTATATATAAATTTATATGGGAAATGTCATCGATCGTCCTTTTCCAGCCAACTGGACGCCATTTTTTTCAGAAGCATATCAAGTGATACCATAATATAGTACTATATTACGATACATGGCGTTCGATTGGGCTTAAACTTGGTATACTATATCTTCAGTGACATTGTAATATCATGGTACCATGGAGCATATAAAGTGGTACCTTCTATAGTACCATATAGCAATATTAGGTACATGGCGGCAATAGGGCTTAAACTTGGTATACTACGTATTTTCGGTGACATTGTAATATGATGGTACTATGATGCATATCATCTGGTACCATAATATAGTACCATATATTATGTACATGGCATTCGATTGGGCTTAAATTTGGGATACTACGTATCTTCGGTGATATTAGTAATATTATGGTACCATGGAGCATAATAAGAGGTACCATAATATAGTACCATATTACGATACCATTTCCTGGCGTTCGATTGGGCTTAAACTTGTTATACTACGTATCTTCGGGTTACATTGTAATATGATGGTACTATAATGCATATAAAGTGGTACCTTAATATAGTACCATATTTCAATACCATTTCCTGGCGTTCGATTGAGCTCATATTTGATATATACTTGCGTATTTTTGATGACATTGCATTATTATGGTACCATGAAGCATATCAACTGGTACCATAATATAGTACTATATTACGTACATGGCATTCGAATGGGCTTAAACTTGGGATACTGTATTTTCGGTGACATTGTAATATGATGGTACTATGATATGATGCATATAAAGTGGTATCTTAATATAGTACCATATTACGATACCATTTCCTGGCGTTCGATTGGGCTCAAACTTGGTATACTACGTATCTTCAGTTTACATTATAATATGATTGAACTATGATGTATATAAAGTGGTACCTTAATATAGTACCATATTACGATACCATTCATGGCGTTCGATTGTTCTTAAATTTGGTATACTACGGATCTTCGGTGACATTGCAATATTATGGTACCTTAAAGCATATCGAGTGGTACCATAATATAGTACACTATTATGATATCATTTCCTGGAGTTCGATTGGGCCCAAATTTGGTATACTTGCGTTTCTTTATAAAGAAACAAATCTTTATAATTTTAATTTATTTTACGAATTTTAATTTATTGTTCGATGTCGTGACAGCAACTTTTATGCCGAACTAATATATTATTAATTGTATCTGTGTCACTTTTTAAAATCTACCTAGGTCTATATAAATAACGTGGCAAACGGAAGTAATTTGTTATAGTATTTTTTAGTCAGTTAACATTTTTTGTACTGCATTTTAATAAATTATTTCCATTATTATTAAACTTATATTTCATTACTAACGTTCCAGCATTAATAAATATCACTATCAATCGCCCTGTATATTATTAATTTTAAAGGTAATTAAAGGTATTTTCTTAGTTAACGTTATAAGTTAGTGTATATTAAAAATGTATATGTTTTGTAATAATATACTTAAAACTTTTTAATAGCCAAAGGAATAATTAATATAAGTGTATCTGACAAGAAAAGAAGAATAGAAAGAAACGCATACTGCATTATACACAATAAAAAGAATGGGATGCCAATTCAAGTCTTTTTGAATCTGGCAACTGTGCGTATTTAGCCGAGCTATAAGGCCGTCCACGAGCCGTCGATCCAAAACCGAAAGTTCAAAATTTCTAATTATATTCTGATTATGATATTGTCGCGCCATCTAGTATTCTATTTGTGCAATTTTAGCTCTTTCATTTCGAGTATTTTTCTGTTGCGTAGCTAGATATTCTGTGCCTTTGGCTATTAAAATAGTTTTAAGTATATTATTACAAAACATATACATTTTTAATATACACTATACCTTATAATGTTAACTAAGAAAATACCTTTAATTACTTTTAAAATTAATATGCTGGAACGTTAGTAATGAAATATAAGTTTAATAATAATGGAAATAATTTATTAAAATGCAGTACAAAAAATGTTAACTGACTAAAAAATACTATAATAACAAATTTCTTCCGTTTGCCACATTATTTATATAGACCTAGGTAGATTTTAAAAAGTGACACAGGTACAATTAATAATATATTAGTTCGGCATAAAAGTTGCTGTCACGACATCGAACAATAAATTAAAATTCGTAAAATAAATTAAAATTACTAATTAAACAAATCTTTATAAAGAAACGCAAGTATACCAAATTTGGGCCCAATCGAACTCCAGGCAATGATATCATAATAGTGTACTATATTATGGTACCACTCGATATACTTTAAGGTACCATAATATTGCAATGTCACCGAAGATCCGTAGTATAACAAATTTAAGAACAATCGAACGCCATGAAATGGTATCATAATATGGTACTATATTAAGGTACCACTTTTTATATACATCATAGTTCAATCATGTTACAATGTAACCGAAGATACATGGTATACCAAGTTTGAGCTCAATCGAACGCCAGGAAATGGTATCGTAATATGTACTATATTAAGGTACCACTTTATATACATCATAGTACCATCATATTACAATGTCACCGAAAATACGTAGTATCCCAAATTTAAGCCCAATCGAACGCCATGTACATAATATGGTACTATATTATGGTACCAGATGATATGCATCATAATACCATCATATTACAATGCGCCGAAAATACGTATATACCAAGTTTAAAGCCCTATTGCCGCCATGTACCTAATATTGCTATGTCATCAAATATGGTACTATAGAAGGTACCACTTTATATGCTCCATGGTACCATGATATTACAATGTCACTGAAGATATAGTATACCAAGTTTAATCCCAATCGAACGCCATCGTATCATAATATAGTACTATATTATGGTATCACTTGATATGCTTCTGAAAAAACGGCGTCCAGTTGGCTGGAAAAGGACGATCGATGACATTTCCCATATAAATTTACATATAAAATGACAGTGATATTAATTTCATAGCTATCGCTAACGCCGTTTTTTCCCGATTATACAATATGAACTTGGTATGAACACAATCGAACGTCAGGAAGTGGTATCATAATAGTAGAACAATACTTATTATATTGTCGCCGAATTACAATGAAAATTCAGGATTCAATTATACAATCAAACGTCAGGAAGTGATTGTAATTTAGCTCATAAGATTTAATTCCAACTAACATGGCAAACTGAAAAAAACAGCTCTGATCTATTTTAATATGTTTAAATGATGTAGCAAATTTGAAGGTAGGCTTTATCAGGAAGTATTACGATATGAATTACACATTGGCAACACTGCACAAAATTCTTTTAAATTTTGTTTGTAGAAAACTGTTTTCTTTTAAATTTATTGCCCTCTATTATGTAGTAGCGAAACTAGCACATCAAAATATCTGATTTGGAGACAGACTTTTAAAGCCTGTCTCCTTTTGCTACCTACAATTTTATACATGTAACGAGGCTTCTGTTGCGTAGCTAGATATTCTGTGCTTAAAGCCTAAAATTTTTATTTAAACGTATTTGTATTTGACTAACCATAGGGCACAAAACACATTCCAATGGCGCCATCTAATACTAAAAGGAGAAACCTATTAAATGTGGATATAGAGAAATCTGTGAATTCTTAACCTCAAAATTCAAACTTACAAAATAAAAAGAAATAAACCGTAGGCAGAGACCGTAAGTTATTTTCTATGAAATAAACATCTTGAAGGACTTGAAGTTAAAGATGCAATTTAGCAAATTATCCATTATCAAGGGACTTAATAATATATAGATTAATTAATTAATATAATAACGTAGGTACTTTTTTATTCCAGGGTTTACTACAAATTTCCCAATTAAGAAGAATCAATGTACGAAATTTAGGATTAATTCCGATAGTAATAGAGCAAACAGGACGAGGAGAACGTTCTTATGATATTTATTCTCGACTTCTTAAAGAGCGAATAATATGCCTGATGGGACCGATTCACGATACAATGAGTTCCTTAATAGTTGCACAGCTTCTCTTTTTACAGTCAGAGTCTACTAGCAAACCAATACATATGTATATTAATTCACCTGGTGGAAGTGTTACAGCTGGATTAGGGATATATGATACTATGCAATATTGTATGCCACCTATTGCTACCTGGTATTTATGCTGTAATTGTAAAATTGTATGTTTTATGTACAAATTCTAGGTGTGTCGGTCAAGCTTGTAGTATGGCCTCCTTGCTTTTAGCAGCCGGCACCCCAGGAATGAGGCATTCCTTACCAAACGCTAGAATAATGATTCACCAACCGTCTGGTGGGGCACAGGTAAATTATATGCATTTAGTTCAAAATAATTCATAGTGTTAATTGAACTTTCTTAAATAGAACTAAACATATACATTTTTAATGTAGGGCCAAGCAACTGATATACAAATTCAAGCAGAAGAAATTGTCAAACTGAAGAAGCAAATTAATCTTCTTTATGTGAAACACACAAGCTTGGACTTGGAAGTAATTGAGAGAAGCATGGAGAGGGATAAGTTTATGAGTCCAGTTGAAGCTAAAGATTTTGGATTAATTGATAAAGTTTTAATCAGACCTGCTAAAGATGAAAATGGAAAAAGCGCCAGTTCTGAAAAAGATGAGAATTCTGACCAAGCTCATGAAATTGCACATAGTTAATATATTATCAAATTTTGTATTGTACTGATAATTTAAGAAATTTGTTAGATAGGAACAGAAGAATTTAGTTAACTTATTTGATATTTTTGTGAAATAATTGTTTTATAAATATCTGATATGTTTTGAAATAAAACATTGTTAAAATTGTTTATTTTTTTTTATTTGTTCGTTGCTTTTCTGCATGAACCACCACTTCATCTTCCACGTGGAGACCTTTGCGTCTTCTTACATCTCTTCTAAGCTTGTTAGCCCTTTGAGCCTGTTCTATTTTGCTTTCAAATTCATCATCGCTAGCATCCTCATCCTCAATGGGTTCAACAAGAGGATCTCCATCTATTATCTAGAATTAACATCTTCATGTAGATATTGATATGATTTCAAAATCCTTTTGGATATTAAAAATACTATGTGAATTGATACTGCAAGAATTATTGGTATTATATAAATATTTTTGTATTAATTGAATAAACAATTCTATGGGCATAATCCTTTTATCATTTTACCGTGAAAAATATCAGTATAAATATTACTATTAATCAATCATAATTCATACAACATTCGGTAGCGGGTTGCTATATGAAGAAAATATGTATCAGATTAATATAGGAAATAATTAATTAAATAAACAACAGAATGAAGATCTGCATTGACACAAACACAGTAATGGTTAATTTGGGAGATTTACGTAGGCTTCCATATGCCTTAGTGTAAATAAGCAAAATATAATTAATTAAATGTAAATAAAAGCGAGATAAAGTATCATATAAAATGGCCAGTGCCAGTCGTTATTACCACTAGAGTCTAAAAAATTCCATACACAATTTCAGTAGCAAAATGAAGTTAGTACTATGTACCTTTATAGTAGCCCTTTTAATATCATTAGGAACATCTTATCCAAAACATAGAACGCTCAACGAAGAAGCCGCTATCTACCATAGTAAGAAATTTTATATAACTAGTATATTAAAAAAGCAATAAAATATGTATTAATAATTTCAGACCAAATCTTAAAAAGACAACAAGAATACAAGACAATTAAAAGGTGTTTGATGCTGGGCAGCGAAGACTGTTTAAATTGTAATTAATATTAGATATTTAACAGAATGAATTCTTTGTATTTTTTTTAACAATTTAGATATACTCCAAAGAGTTAGAGCTGAGAGAAGTCCCTTAACTGCCAGTAGAAGATGTGTCAATTTGGGAGATGATGGTTGTAATGCTGGTAAGAATCATTTTCTTGTTCATTAAACTGTACTCTCAATTTCTCAAATGTGGTATAAAAAAATGTATTTGCACCACTGAGAAAAAGTTCGAGATAAAAAAATTCGCATATTTCAGCCGGTATTCCGGGCGCTGCTTCTGACAGAGACATGTTAGACGGTGGATTCAATCCAGGAAAAAGATGTGCCAATTTTGGAGACGAAGGATGCTCTAATGGTATGGCGACGAACTTAAAAAATCGAGAGTCAAAAATATTATTTTGCATTATTTTAAGGTGGTATACCTGGAGCATCAAGTGATAATGATTGGCTAACCAGCGGTTTCACCCCGGGGAAAAGGTGTGCAAATTTAGGAGATGAGGGATGCTCAAACGGTTAGATAACATCACTTATTTTTTGGAAACTTTAAAAACATATTCGAAAGGTACATTCAGGCTCAGAGCGTCGAGCGTCGCGTCGCGTTTGAGTCGCGTCCGCGTGTCGAAATGGAATCAATTCACTAAACTTAAAAAACGTTCAGGCAGACAGCGTCGCGTTTGGCGTTGCGCTAGCGTCCGCTGAGCGTCGGGGTTCGAGTTCAATGGGGCGGACGCGACGCGACGCAAACGCGACGCGACGCTCGACGCTCTCAGCCTGAATGCATCTTAACAAGAGATTTGAACCCCATCTAGGCATAACGATTTACGTTACGTACGTAATTATTGTAGAACATTATTGTAGATGAAAAAACAAACGTGTTACTTCAACTGAATTAAGATGGAAGATCGTCAAAAGAAATGCTGTTAGTTCTCTATAAGATCCTCTGTCTTAACGACAAGCAAAACGTTAGGTCTGGATCGGGCTTAAGTCCCAACAAATCTTTTCTAATTTAAATTGACGTGTGTGTGTATATGATTATTTTTATTGTTTACATATATTTTCAAATAATTCGATGTGTACAAAATAAAATAGGTGGAATACCTGGGGCTTCAGCAGATAGTGATTGGTTGAATGGAGGATCAAGTCCAGGAAAAAGATGTGCAAACCTTGGCGATGAAGGATGTTCAAATGGTAAAAATTGTATTTACGTGTATGAGAAATTAAACTTTTAAGCGGATAGGATATTTGAGGCTACCAGTGCAAAAACGGCTTAATCCACAAACTCGCAAATTTGAGCTGTATAGCGTAAATAAAACAATTATTAATATTAATACATATACAAAATGAATTTAATTAAATAAATACAATACAGCTCAAATTTGCGAGTTTTTGGATTTGGCCGTTTTTTCGCTGGTAGCCTCATTTAAAAATTTGTTGTCATTTCACAGTCAAGTAATATAATTATGTACGATATAGGTGGAATTCCTGGTGCATCATCTGACAGTGATTGGTTGAATGGTGGAACAAATCCAGGAAAAAGATGTGCTAATTTAGGCGACGAGGGCTGCTTGAACGGTATGTCCAGAAGAATTATATTGAATAGAATATACATATACTTATTTTCATTAATAGGAGGAATTCCTGGAGCTTCAGCTGACAGCGAGTGGTTGACTGGGGGATTCAATCCTGGAAAAAGATGCGCAAATCTGGGAGATGAAGGATGCTCTAATGGTGAAGTATCTTACTAAATTAATAAAAATTTACAACTTATTCAAATATTCTTTTTTCTATTAGGAGGAATTCCTGGTGCTTCAGCTGACAGCGATTGGTTGAATGGAGGATTTAACCCAGGCAAATAGTGAGAGTAGTCAAACAAAATATACATCATTACTGCTTTAATTAAAAAATAAACAGATTTGCCATTAGAGCCTGAGTTTTATTTTCAAATTTTTCAAAAAAAAGGTTTCCGAATCCTCAGTATAAATACTATAAAGAACAATTTGTTAACGCCTTTGTCTTAAGCGCGGTCCACACGCAACAGCTTATCGTACGATATGCTTGCTTCGACAAAACGTTGCAGATAAAACGTAGACCAAGTTGTGTCCACATAACGACTTGTTCAGTTTTTTGTATTATGTCATGTCATCATGGAGGAAACATGGTTGTGGTTAGTTTTTGCCTTTTGTTTAAATAAGTTAAAAAAGGCTTAAGTCTATTAGAATTTTTTGAGGCGTTTGATTGTTCAAAAATTAAGTAAATTAAAATACCATAGAGACGGTTTATAAATATCTTCATCCCCACCACCCGAAGCAGAACGAATATATTTATTAAGTTTTGATAATTCTTTTCTGTAAACAGTTCTAAGTGAATTATTTTATACAACATTTTAATGAACAGTGCTTTCCATAAAATCAATAAAATGAAAAATATACGAAATAATATACATGTACTGATTTCTTTCGAAAATCGATAACTATGAAACTATGATCCCTTCCCCGACACAAACGGTACATTGTGAGATAGGAAATTGTAGAGAGAAACAAGCCCTATAACATAGGATACAACATTTTAATGAACAGTGTTCATTAAAATGTTGTATCGTTACTGTATAGTCGCTTCAGGGTACACCTCCTTGAACTTTTCATTCTGTCATTCAATTTGCTGTCCACACGCTACATGTTATCGGCAACGTTTCGTCCATGCAAGCAAATCGTACGATAAGTCGTTGCGTCTGGACCGCGCTTTAGAGATGGTCTGAAGCAGAGATATAGAAAGGTCTGAAGTTATGCCTCGACCCAAAACATCATCTAATCGTGTCTCCGTTTAATAGGTTTTACGGTTTTCAATCGAAAAAATATGTCAAATGTGCAGCTGGTTAAATGGAAATGCCCCAGCAAAAAAAGTCTCGACTGAGATTGCCTTAAGTTGAAATATTTAAGTAAAGAATGATCACGGTTATGGTCCACTGGTGCCGAGCTGCTTCGTTTACCATAGTAACTAGTAATGGGAACGAACTATCGAAACATTTGATAGTTGCAATTCATTCGAATTATTCGATAGCTAGTGATACAAAAATTTCATAGCTAGTGGAATAAAAATTATCGAATAAATGCATGCAATACCTTCTTTGCAGTTTTACATTATAAAAATATTCGTTTATTAAATTCATTTATTTGTTGGACTGGGATGAAATATGGCGCAGCGATGTAGCTCGTAGAAATATGTAAAATATGTAAAATAATATGGCTTTCATCACAAATCTCATTTTGCCATTCCAAAATTAATAGTTTCACAACTTTATTAATTATATATTATGCTTATCTAGTTAAGTTTAGAAACTATCTGAAAATATATTTTGTAGGTTCAAAATTAATTATATAAACGTTTATCTCATTTAAAAATTGCCGCTTTTCAAAATTTTCTACTAATAAACAGATCATAAATACATTATAAATGTAACTGTGTGCTCTGCAGTGGGATTCTGTAAGCTCCGTAGCAAGAAATTTCCTGTCTAGCCTATGCTATTTGTATACGATTGATGAGTCACTAGACAAGAGAAGTGTTTACAGAATCGGGCTTCTGCCTACAGAAAAATTGCACAAATTCGGTAAAACTTTGATTACGTGCATACGTAAAATTCGTTAAAATTAACTCTCGCACACATTAGCAGGAAATCAAATACCTAGTAACTACCGTATGTATGCAAAAAAAACGGCGTCCAGATGGCTTGGAAATGAACACGATGACAGATATATCCCCATGACATGATATATCCCCATATAATTTTACATATAAAATGACAGCGATCTTCATTTCATAGCCATCGCTGACGTCGTTTTTTTTTCGATCATACGGAATTTTTCATTCGATACACGTGCCTTGTAATGAACGAATGTTTTTATTGTAATAAAAACACTCGATGTAAACCAATCATTTAGTAATCATTCGATAGTCTTTTCATTCGGTTCCCATCACTAATAGTAACTATATTTTTCTGGTTTCGTCAATGTCTGCGCCCCAGATAAAATGTTTTTTCCTTCAACAGTTAGACTGGTTAGTATTTGATTTTATAAAAACGACTGATCAAAAAAAAAGCTCATTGACTCTTAAAATGTTTTTTCAAGTCAAAACCAAACATTTCTTACCTCGTAGTGACTGAACCTCAAACTGGGATTTGCTTGGCCCGATGTGGTTTTCCTTATTTCGTTCACAAAACCTTCGCTTTCGATCACAGGGATCTGTGCTTGAACCAAAAAGGACTTTTCTTTCTCGTCCATTCCTACGGCTTCTAAAACTTTGCCATGTCGCCTGTTTATCACAGAATATACTTTTCCTAAAACAAATAACATCAGATAAAGTAAGAAATTAAAGAAAACTTCATTTATGTTTAAAAAAATTGTGTACCAAATTTCAGTGGGCGATTCCACAGATAGAAATAAAAGTTCCTACGAAGATATGCCCTAAAATACTTCATGAGGAAGTTAATACTATTTACAGGTCTTACGGCCTTCACTTGAAGCATATTGTAATTTTTAGATCATATCAGGTATGTATATATAACTACAGTGTTAATTGTTTTAATACACTCCATTAAAATTCCTACTAATTACATCTCATGATTTCGCTAATACTAAAATCGACGCATCGTAACCCTTTAAACGCAAATATCTTGAAAACCGTTCACCGTGTCGGCTTAAATGAAAAGCATCTTCCTTACGTAAAAAAATCCTAGCTTTTTATGTCATTTGTTGAAATTACTGTCTCCATTAGGATAAAAAAGTACCCTCTACCCTAATGGAAAGTACCCCTTTAGAACTATTACGGATCTATATTTATACACTAACGCCATTTGCTTTGGCAATAAAATGTGTGTAAGAATAACCCGAATAACCAAGTTTCAAGAAAACGGTGTACCAATATCCTTAAAAATAAACAAAATCTATTATTTTTATTTATCGTTCATCGGGAAGCATAATTATGTTCTTAAGAAGTTTTTTTGTTTTATATTTATCCGAAGATTCACCCACTGATGTTTGGTACACTATTTTTTGACACCATGTATAACTAAATTAGTTATTTTAAAAATATTTTTGATATCTCTATATATCATCTGCTTGAAAATCTAAAGGCATTCGATTTCCTGTTAGATTAGATATTTTTTTGTCTCTGAACTGTGTACTTTAATTTCATTATTAGTTACAGAAAAGAAGACCAAATTACAACCAGATCCGAATGTTAATCGTATACGGCTAACTGTAAAAAGGTGTGTCTATCACGTCTTTTTATTGAAGAGACAGACGCCTTTGGTTATATTTGATTATCCTTCAGACAAAATATGTTGAGTAAAGCCTTTCTTATGTCACAACTGAGATAATTTTCTACATCAATAATATTAAGAAAAAAAATAGTATAAAATATAAACCTTAAACCATAAAATACATAGTAAAATTTTTAATACAGTATTCTGTATTCAACATAAATAATTATCTTGCGCCACGTTCTCGTACAATATAATTTTCTGTCTTTATACAATATAAAATAATAATCAGCCCTAATTTTTATAATCAATAAAAATTAATTGGAGAAATTAACAATTTTCAGAGCGTTATAATAACACTTAAATCAAAAATGTAGTAAGAGACTGGAAAGGATAAAATCACTCCATATTATGAATGAAGTTGACACTGCTGTTGTGCAAGTATGCCAAGTGACATTCCACAGATCATATTTGGTGGTTCGTAAACAATTGTACAGCAATATCGCAAAATCCTACGCATTGAAGACCTTGCAAGGTAGTTTTGTCTACAGTACATATGAACAAAATGAATACAGATAAAAAAGGAAAAAAATGGCTTTAAATTATTCTCATTCATAAAAACTACCTTCAGGCGAAAGGAAATACCTGAAAGACTTCGGAAGTAGCAAATTTTTTTCTTAGATAAAGTTGTCGCTAGACATTTCGTTGTTCCCTAACAATAAAACCATCCCTAAAATAATAAAATGCAAACAAACCAACATCCACTAGGATATATCAAAAGCATAGAAGAGAAAACATGTAATAAATAACCTTAACGTAATTTACATATTCCATTGAAAAGGTTGAATTTAAAAAAAAAATGCAATTTTTTATCAGATATTGTACGGTAAGCATAGTAAAATCCCGCTAAATATGAATGAAATCTTACAAGTCTCTTTATATCATTCATAAATCTTTACGGTAGGCACCCTGTGTAGACTTCGTTGTACACCTGACCAATTATTTTCAAACAGGTGTTCGGCATATCGCCAAGAAACAAAAGCATTAATCAAAGACTATTTTTCAAAAGACCTGTATCATTTATATTTTTTTATTAGAAACAATAATAAATTAAGATTAGATCAACAATAATTTCAAATTTAGAGAAAAATAAGCTATATATTATGAGGGTTAAATATGTATTAGCCGTGCATAAATGGTTTATCAGATAGTTAATATTTATATTTTAGTTTCTTTGTTTTATTTATTGTTTTCCATCAAATAAATATACAAAAAAAAAATTTGTCAAAATTTCGCAGAAATTCTAGAAAACGTCAGGAATTGGATACTACAAAGAAATGAACTGGGTGGTTCAGGAACTCTGCTCAAGGTTCAGGAACTTTGCTCAAGGGTCAGGAACTCTGCTCAAGGTTCAGGAACTCTGCTCAAGGAATTGGCTTTAGAAGACAAGGATGCCTACAAGAATTAATTGAGAATGTTCTTTTGATCACTTCTTTTTCGAATCAAACTTTTCGGTTCAGCTGATTGAAATCATAGTACCGTATGATCGAAAAAAACGGCGTTCAGTTGGCTGGGAAATGACAGCGACCTTCATTTCATAGCCATCGCTGACGCCGTTTTTTCTCGATCATACGGTATATTTTTGTTCGATATTGTTTGATCAATAAAAATCGTTCAACCAAAATCGACTGGTGAGAACGCGACTTAACATTTTATTAATAAAACATGCGTGTAGTACATGCTAACGCTGTACATATGCAATAACTATTGTTCAATACCAATCTTATACAGGGCTTGAAAGTGCTAAGAAAGAAAGATACGTTAAGAAAACAAGACGCGTAAAGTGGTACCGGTAGATGTTGAGAGTCAAGGTACGTACGATCTAGCGTTGCAGAAGTTCACGTCGGCCTCCGAATCTGATTTCATTCATGGCTCGGATGGAGCATAGTAGTACGCTTCGTAAAATGATCAAAGTAGCACTTTGAGAATTGGTTTGGGCACTCTTACGCATTTCATTCATTCATCTGTAGTAGTCGACTGGCCGGGACCGATCAGCCAGCGTTCGAGTTTCGTCAATGTTTTATAGAAAAGACGCGAACATGTATTTAGAAAGTATCGTGGTTTTGGTGCTATTCAATTTTTGTGTCAGTACGAGGATACCTCTGGAGGTTTTCCAAAGGTATCCAACGGAACACCATCACCATGGGCACAAGCTGAACCATTTAAATAATGGCAATTTCTACAGGAAAAAACTGCAAGAGCACGTACCTTTAAAAGTATTGTATCAAGTGGGGGTAAGTACCGCCTAAACTAACTAAAAATAATCCATATAGTGTTAGTTAAATAGGTCAATTAAACTGACCCTCTGATAAATCAGGATTTAACCGAAAAAAAAACAATTAAATTCTAATATAAAAACGATATACTCCTTCGTAGTTTTGTTATATATAGGATGGTCGGAAACTTCGGTAACATATTCTGCATATAAAATTAAGGAAAAAATTCATAGGTATAAATTTATGTCCTGAAATATATCGTTTCGGAGATATAGGGTGTAGAATTTTTTTTTTAATTCCGTTTCTGAACTTACCTCGATATTTGGATGAAAAATGGTGTCTAGTAGGGTTTCCAAACAGGGATGCTTATCCCCAAAATCTCGATATTAAATCCCGGGATCCCAAAAATCTCGCAAAATTTAAATGCCCAATCTAAAATGCTTCGACTTTGCACATTTTATTCGTTCAAAGATCATATTTTATTTATACTAAGCACAACATCAATATCTATAAGTTATATTTCCGAATTTGTTATATTTTATTTTTTTTGCAAAAAGAATTGTATTTTTAAACTTAATATGAATGTTACTTTGTTTTGTGTATTTTAATAAGCCTCTTTTCTAATTTTCTATTTGATATATGTATCTGCATTATAATAATTATTAAGTATTTTTTTTAGATTGAATTTTTCATTTCATAATCCCGGGATTATATTCCGATCCCGATCCCGAAAATTGGAAACCCTAGTGTCTGGGTGTTTTTTGACATAAGAAATTCGGTTTTGAAAGTCGGTATAATTCTTACTTGTGTAAAATTTTATTTTTTAAATTAATTCTAAATTTTTCTAGAAAATTATGGCGCAAAACATTTCCAAATTACTTTTTTTGTATAAAAAAACGACGGAAATATGTATTTTTCCTCTCAGTAGTGTAATATAGGTAAGTAAGGAAAGTTATTACTCTTCAAAACAGGGTTGAAAAACATGTAGGTGACGTCCCCTACAAGTAGGAGTCGTAATACCATCGAAATCGAAGTTCTCATGTAAAAGAAACACCCAGACGCAAATTTTCATCCCAATATCGACGTTGGGTCAAAAATTATTTGGAAAAAAACGAAATAAATATGAAACTTCTACACCCTGTATCTCCGAAATGAAGCATTATAGGAATTAAATTTATACAAACGCTTTTATGTATTTTTATTTGCAGAATGTGTTACTGAATTACAATTCGGAATTCGGACTAACCTGTATATTGTCTCCCGAATACTTAAATGTATTCAGGATTTCTGCTTATATTTTTTTAAAGAATATTAAAAAAAATCCTAAAGAAAATCGCTTGCAACAGGCTACATAAAATCTATCTAAGTGTATAGTTAGTATTTCAAAATATCACAAATTGTACGTAACACAGGATACATTAAATCACGAAAGAAAAAAAAAGGGACGGCAAACCTTCACATACAAAAGGAAGTGATTAGAAGAATTATTATACTTTCTTATACTAATTTGTACCGTCAGCTCTTATAAAACCTGTACTACAGTTGTTACCTAATATCATTATGATTTCTTGACATCATCGTATCGTAAACAAAAGGAAGTTAAATATTATTAAAGTTATCTTTTTTATTTTAGCTTTTTTTAATCGTACCCATTTAGTATTTCCGCAAAAGCAAAATTCTATTCTGTTGAAAATATCTATAGTACATGCAAAATATCAGTTTTTGGCATAGTTACCCTTAATTTTTTTATTTTCAAATGGGACTAACAATAAATATTCTTGACAAAAAAATACGAAGCTTTAAGAGATGATCCCGGCTATAACTGTAATAAACAAACATTTAAGCACTCTTTTAAAATAGCAATCGAACATAAAAACCGGTATTTGAAATATTATACGAATACATTGAAGTTTTGATCGGTCAATTCATTCCTAGAATCGAATCTTCAATGGTACTACAACTTGAATGAGTTTTTTGATATGAAAAATTATTTAATTTACGTGTCTAGATTTTTTACCGCTAGAAGAAAAATAAAAAAGTAATTTTTGTAAACACCACTACGTGGAACGGAGACCAAGTTGTCAGTTGTATTAAACTAATAAAAAAATTGCCTCAAAATCCAGAACTCTTGTAAAAATAAAAAAATACTGTGCCTTACTTCGTGTCAAAGAAACAGTTATTTTTCTTACTTTTAAGCAGAGATGTACTAACCTGTTTTCGTATTTTTGGGAACACTCATAATAAAAAAAAATAACATAAAATCAATTTTTAACAACGTTCCAAAATAATCCTAAAATCAAATTTTCAAGGAAGAAAACTTATAGTAGGGGAGACCATCATGAGAACCTATTGTATCGTGAAAAAATTAGGGGCGTTTATAGGTTTTCAGAAGTTTATAATAAAATGTCACAAAGATCAAAGATATACTGAAAACGGGGGAATATTAATCTACCGGTTAGCATGGTGGGGATAGTCGTACGAAGGGGTAGAAAATGAGAAAATTAAAAAATTATTTGAGTGTATCAGACATTCAGGATCTCCTATCAAAAGACCGACAATTTGGCCGCGACCAAAACTCATGACAGATTTCAGAAAGAAAAAGACAGATTTTTGAGTATTACTACACTGATCGTGTAGTAAAACGCACGACCCTGTATAAAAGGTTCATGTGGGATACTTAACAGGGTGCAATGTTTCTCCCCTTATGCGCTTGAATAAATCCCAAAATCCCCGCTTGGGCTCCACTACTATAAGCTCATTTTTTGTAGTTGTGTTGGAAAGGGCACTAGGTACGGCCCTGGCAAAGGTATAAGTTTATGAAAGCGAGTCTGCATGCTGAACTCACTTCCTCCCTATTGAGACGCGCACAAAGGATACGATTTAGGGCCAGAAGATAAGTGTCTCGACTATTTTTTATTTCCGGTACTTCCGTTCTTCCGGCCCTTTTGTCAGGCGAGCTTTTGTTGGCCTCAGGTCATCATAGGGCCTTTTACCGTCATTAAAAATATACGGAAATCCTCAACAGGGATGGATTATCCGCCTACCTCGTCCTTTATAACTAACACAAATACCTAGGTTATTTATTTTTGACCCTGTATATACATCCTATACTTTCTCGCAGGTATAGCTTACAGAAAATGGAGAAATTTTTAATTCTACTGTTGCTTTTTGAATCGTTTTCTACTCATTGAAGTTACAGCCTCACTTAATCATCTCTAACAATACCTGTTTGTAATTTAACTTACATGTATTAAATGAGGGAATAAACAATGAAGATGCTCTATATAATAGAAAGGCAAAAATTTCTACAAAAAATAATTATACTTAATATGCACTGCTATTTGCTGAGAAACTATTATTTAAATTCTCATATTTATTTGGCAAAAAAATAAAAAAAAATATTTTAATGAAAAATTCCAAGATAGAAAAAGCATAATCCAATATATTTACATAAAACTTCCTACAATTGCTGAAATTTTCGTCATTTTAGGACTATGTTTACTATTATTCCAACAGCTTTGAACAACGTGTAAGAAATAATTAAAAATTGAACATTTTCAACTTTTTTTTCGATATACAGTCGTAGTACACTTACGTCGAGTACACTTACAAAAATATTGATATTTTCATAATTTTAAGACTTTGCCTACTATCTTTCTAAGACCTTTGAAACTGAGTAAAAAAATAGCCAAAAGGTAGCATTCTTTCGACGATTTTTCGAGATTTTTTCTATACCTATATTCAGAAAAATTGGCGATTTTCGTCTTGTCACCGATTTTTGTTAAAACTGCTGTTATTTACTACTGTGTAGAATAAGATAATATAGGTCATCGTACTCTTACGATGAATAGGGAGAATATATGTGAGGGGCGTTTTAACCATCATCAAGAATAACCGAAAACAAGAGTTCAAAAAATTATTATTTTTTCACAAATCCAATGTATCTACGCCATTAAAGGTGTATATATGTTGAATCTACATAAAATTTACTACAAATGCAGACATTTTCATAATTTTATGACTATACTATTTTTCAAAGACTTTTTTGAATGTGTAAGAAATAGACATTGCATTTGTTGAGAAATGATTAATTTAAATTCACATAATTGTTTGGCAAACTAAAAGCTAATCATATTCAATACATTGGCAAAATTAGAAACCAAATAAGTGAATTAAGATTTGTTTATAGGAGTTATGTAAATTTATCGTCTAGCTAAACAAGACAATAATTGTAATTGCTGTAACAATGTTGAATAATAATTACAATAAATGGGCTACAATCGTCTGATGAATTTATAACATTATGCCTTGCGGTGCATATCAAATAATTGCTAAGATTTAAGTTCAAACTTTTATTACAATGTCGTATGATTACTATGGAGACATTCATAACTAATGAAATCAGAATAATAATTGTCAAAGTAATATCATACAGGTACATTTAAATAAATTATGTCAATATATTCTGAATCTACATAAAATTTCCTCAATTTTCAGATTTTATGACTATGTTTACTATTTTTCTAATACCTTTGAAAATAAGTAAAAAATGCTAAAAATGCTACTTTTTGTACATGTACGAATGTTAAAAAAATTGAAGATTTTCAGCTGTTATTTATTAATTTAAAGGCATAGAATTAAAAAATATAGGCCATTGTGGCCATAGGAGTACAGTATATGATGGAGAAGTTTAAACCACCACGAAAATAGGTGAAAAACAAGAGTTTAATTTTTTATTCCACAACCAAAGCCCTTAAGCCTTTAAACGAAAATTATTTAGGCAGTTCACCGCCTACATGTATGACGTGTGCAACTGCCGAACATTTACGATACCATAGAAAGCGGTTATAAAAAAAAGAGAGGATGAAATATATCGAGGCAGCCTGGTGCCAAGTTCCTCAGAATTTTTCCCACGACTCCTGAAATCAAATCTAACCTATACAAAATCGTATACGGGACAGCACATTGAACACTTGCCCTTCCGGATGACACAGGTCCGGCTTTAGATTTTAGATAGTAATTATATTTTTAAAAACGGACGATCAATGTTTTACAAGTAAAGAACAGTACTATTCACTGAGTATTTTGCCAATAATTTATATGAAATAATAAGTATATATCTAAAGTATAACTTATTACTTTAGAAAATGAAAACATCTCAAAAATTGTCAAAGGTAACGTTTATAATCAAAATTATCGATAAAAACTATAGCACGGTATAAATGTTAATCGGTTTTTCGATCTTTTTTTTAACAGGAGCTGATTTTTCATCTTGATAAGCTCATCTGCATTGTATATTTGTTCTTTCCTTAATGTCATCTTTGGAACAACAGATCTAAACTTTCCCTGAAACTTGATACACTTGAGACATTTGACAGCTGTAACATTGCTGGCGTAATCAAATCAATATCGTAAAAAAAAACGATTTTCGTGCCTTAACTTGAGTTTATCTAGCAATCCATAACTTGCTAAAAATTCCGTTTTCTTTCTACTTTTTGGCTTTAAAACAATACGTCATCGATAATGGGATTCCTACCTGGTCCAAGAAATTATTTTGAAAAAGTTTTAAAAGTCCTTATTAAACTTCTTTTCGTTTATGTTAAACACTGCAGATTTTGAAACCATAATCTGCTTCGCAATTTGACGAGTATTAGATTTTTCGGCGAATGTAACAGTTGTATTTGCTCGTTTGATTGGAACCATTACGTCTAACACGCTCAAGAATGAAATACAGATTCACTTCATAAATAAAATGTAAACGTTTCTGCTTGTTCATATTAAAAAATTCTAGATTTCTTTGCGCCCGAATTTTAGGGTAAATGTTTTAAAATTCCCCAATAATAGCAGAATCTGGATTACTGGAGTGTCCGGACTATTGAAGTTATACTGTAATTTGAATTTCCTTTTGCAGACATCAGAAGAAGATCTGCCTGAATGCAACACGAGATCAGTATGTAACAAAGTGGATCTGTATGACACTCCCTGGGTCGAAAAACAATGCAGATGCGCCAAAGGAAAAACATGTCCCATGGACCTTTCCACGGACGATGGGCACACATTTGTCGAGAAAACTAGGCAATATAAAGTATGCGAGTCGATCAGAAAGCTTCCCAGATGCAGGTATTGTAAAATTTGTTTTGGCCCGAAACAAAAAAGATAATTAAACTTTATTGCAGATACTTTCGTGATACAACATGGTCCATTACCTTATACCAAAACAACGTTACAGATCAAGTGATTCACTGTCACTGTCCAAAAAATTCTCTAGCATATCTTAACAAAAGAAACGTACTACATCTGCCCAATGGTCAGTTAGCTTTTCAGTACCTCTTTTCCTGTTCGCCACAAACGGTAAGTGAGAAATACAGTTTTATGTTTTACACAAACATTCCTCTTGATCTTTTTTAAAACTATCAATCTGAAGTATCACCATTTCAAATAAACCACAAACATTAGAATTAATAGATTTTCCATGCTGGTTCAAGATCGTCAGAGAAAAAATATATATTACAGCTAAAATGGTTACTAGGCTAGTTTTAAAACTAAGCAGCAATAGCTGGTTACCCGCTCTTTTGCAAAAATATACCAATATTCCAGCCAAGTATCCATTTTAGCCGTAACATTATAAACTAATTCGGTTTAATCTATTACTTTTGATATCTATGGAAACAACACCATACTATGTTTTCTCCATTTTTTTATATCTATAGAATGGAAGATATGTTGCACTTTGGACTTCCATTCCCTTTTAAGTGTAGATTTTTTTTTAAATTCAATACATTCTAAAGGTACTTATACTTCAGAATGTATTAAATACAAATTAATTTAGCCTTGGTATAATAAAAAAAAACACTGGATAACAATTAAAATAACATTATAAGCTGCCGTTTCCTGCTTCTCGCTTGCTCAAATTAAATACAAATCATAATTAATTTGAAGTCAATCAATTTCAAAAACGTACTGCCCGCCAAAAGAGCGGAAAAAATACGTTAAACCATTAAAATATTTCAAATAGATATAAATGGTCATAAGAAATATATTCATGATATTTCAATAGAAGCATTCTGATTTCGGTGTATTTTTCTTTTAAAATTATTATTTAAATTAATTTAATTAAAAACACTTCTTTTTCCGATGATAGAACAGACTGAACATTAATGTAGATGACTAAATTAATGCTTAATTAGTGTGAAATAAGAATGAAACGGACTTCTGAAAAGCGGCTCTAATTATTTAATAAAAACTAAATCTATTTATAATTGGTGTTAACAGGTGATATAACATTACAAATTTAAAACAAGAATTAATAATATATTTCTAAGGATTAATTGGCGTTTTGCCTTAATAACCAGGGACGTACTATATTTTAGACAAATGCCTTTAATAAAAAAAATATTTCTTTTTTGAGAAATGGTATTATACGTTTATACGTTATTTGCTAATTAAAAGGCGTAGAATAAGAAAAAACTAGGGGAATAAGAAAAAACAAATATGGGAAGTTTTTATAGTCATCAAAGGTAACCAAAACAAGGGTTCAAAAGTTTAAGGTACAAAACCAAGGTATATCTAAACCTACAAAGGTGTATGTACATATTCCGAATCTACATCAAATTAATTTACTACAAATGCTGAAATTTTCATAATTTTATGAATATTTTTACTACTTTTCTAACACCACGTATCAAAAAATAGACCAAAAACAAAGGTTCAAAAAATTAATTTTCTCACAAAATCGAGGTATCTAAAGCCTTTAAAGATGTATATTATATTCTGAATCTGCATAACATTTCTTACAAATACTGATATTTTGTTTACTATCTTTCTAAAACCTTTGAAACTGAGTAAAGAATAGCCAAAAGGTAGTATCCTTTCGACTTTTTTCTATACCTATATAGTCACGAAAATTGGCGATTTTCGTCATGTCACCGATTTTGTTAAAACTGCTGTTATCTAAGATTTAAAAGGTATAGAATAAGAAAATATAGGCCATTATAGTCTTAAGAGAACAATAATAGATGTAAGCAACTATAATTTCATTTCAAGTATCGGACGTTTTACCCTTCATCAAAAATAGCTGAAAAACAAAGGTCCAAAAAATTAATCTTCTCACAAAGCCAAGGCAGCTTAGCTTTCAACGGTGTATATATTCTGAATCTACCTAAAATTTACTACAAATTCTATGATTTACACCTTTTTATGACTATCTTTACCATGTCCCTAAGGCCTTTGAAAATGTGTAAAAATAGCTATTTGTAATTTTTTATTTTTAATTTGCTGTACGTACCTAGCATTTTAAAAACGTAATTTCATGACCAGTTATGCATCTAAAACAATTGTATTTTATGTTATACAGAGAGGGGTAATTACCCCCATTAGCCCTCCCGTACATGCGCCCCTGTTTATTATCTAGATTTGTGCGTTTAAAAATAGAGAAGGAATAATTAATTGTTGTTGCAGAGACTTCGCTGCCAGAGAAAGGAACCTTGCCGGTTGTTTACAGTTCGCAAACGTCAAGAATTCTTGGACGAAGTGAACGTAAACACTTTATGCCAATGCCCCCAAGCCCACCGATGCCCGCACCACCACACGGATTACGGCGTAGTTTCCGTAAAAACGTTCAGCGAAGACACCATCAAGACCTACAGCGGGTACTGCCTACCTTCGTAGTACCCTCCACAGGTGGCGCCGCTTGTCCGTTTATTGTACAGTCTCGGCTCATATTTCGGCCTCGATTTTAAATATTTCTTTTTTGAATTTATTGAAGAAAAAAAGAAATTTGTACAGATAGGTTATTGTGTCAGACATGACGATATTTATTTTTGTATTTAGTTCTAACGGATGACTTTTTCCTATGGTGGTGAACAGTTCGATCAGACATAATTAAGGATCCTGTAAATTATCTTTTAAAAGTTCCAAATACGCTGAAATAGTACAAATGCTTTATATTCATAATTTATTTTAAAACTGTTATTACTAGGGTTTCCATAAGTCAGGATTTACTCGGATATGTTCTTTTGACCGGAATTTTAAAAAATGCCCGGAAAATCTAAACGTAAAAACAACTTTGTAGAATACTCTAATCGTTACGATGTCACATACCGATAAAACTGACATCGTTGGAAAGTACCCATATCCATATGATTATTTTTTTCGTTTTCGGTGCACTAGTGGATGTGAGTTGTGAATTTTTTTGTCTTTATTTTGTTATAATTACGTATCCTTTATAAATCTAAGTCTATCGAACGATCTATAACAGTGACAGTTGTGCCTCAAATTTTATTTCACAAATTTTAATTCACAAGTAAATTATATTTTCTGTCATTTTTTGAGTGTTATCTGTCAAAACCTACCCTGACCTGTTGGATAGACTTTGGCTCATGCTAATTGTATATGCAACGGGTAAATTGGTTTGGAAGTTTCGGTATATAATGTACAATATTTAATTTTACCAATAAAATTAAGCATTTAATAATGCCAAACCAAAAGTGTGTAATTGTAAAATTTAAAAGTGTGTAAATTATGTAAAAACTGTATTAAAAACAGATAATTCAATTCTGATGTCATTTGTAACGTATGCCACACAAATCTTAGTAGTGCTCGCAAAGACAAAAGGGCATAATCCTTTTAACACTTTTTCAACTGCCATTAAGCATTAAGCATTCCTGCTTAAAGCAAAGACTGAGGGAAGAAAGTATATCGTCAGACGGGCATCCAACCAATGATAGAAAATACAATTTACCTGTGAATTAAAATGACAGAAAACTCTTATCTCGTTAGACAAACTAGTCCGGATTTCAAGAGATCACTTGTCCGGAATTTTCAAAAGCTTATATGGAAACCCTAGTTATTACTGTAATTTTATTTTTTGTAAGTAAACATTCCTGTGTAAAAATACTTAATTGTACGAGACATATTTTCAATAACGAAATATATATTCAGAATTTAAAATACTGTAAATAATCTATATTTTATAGTCATACACAGTACAGGTCATAATAATAGATTTTGTTTTAATACCTTAAAAATGACCAAACATAAACTAAATGTTATATTGTTTTTATTAAAAAAATGCATGTAGAAGAAACCAGTGACCAGTTGACAATTCTTACCTCACTAGGCCATACATTTATTTAAACTGTTTATATTCTATGTATTATTTTTATAGATATTCTACTTTGTAAAAATGTGGAGTCGAATATATACATAAAGATATTAGATATGAATGTCTAAAGTTGTTAAACAAACTTTATATAAATCATTTAAATAATGAAATAAATATTACACGAACTTGTATTACACATGTACAAATTATCATAAAGTTATATTTAGTATAAAATGAGTATTATTTTCCTGTATTTAAAAAAGTATTTCTTGTAAGTCAGAAATATAGTATAGGGGAGTGAGAGAAGTGAATGAGTGCTTTTGAAAAAACTGATCAGGGATCATGGAAAAGTATACCACCTCTAAATTTGGGATGTTTTAAATAACTTGCATGTATTTTAGAAATTAGTTATTAGTTAGTTTATTTTATTTTACAAAGAATTAAGTTGGTACAACTGGAACGCATAGCAGAAAATTAATATATTTAAAATTTGAGTGACAAGTAATTACTTCAAAATATTGTGAAAAAAAACTGTTTAAAATAGAGAAAATCTAATCGAGTTATTTTATTAAAAACAATTACAGTATGTGTTAATACAAAACAAGCAAGGGTTTATTTAAAAAAAAACAGCACATACCAAAAAAGATATAAAAAGATTTCCGGCTTTCAAGCTCAAGCAACTTCCTGCATTTATTGTTAAATGGTCTGGGTCAACACTTAATTTTCCCGCGAGTTTTCCTCCACTTAATTTAAAAAAAAAACGAAACACACGTAATCTCACAGTCCAAAATTTAAAATATTTATCATTTCTATTTGACATAATTTGACACAAAATTATAACTTATAACCTATAAATTGGCAAGAGTTTGACAACTCTCAAAAATCTTAAGAGGAGTTCACACGCATCGGCGTTTGTTTGGCCCTGTTCTCAGAAGAATCCCTGACTAGTCAGCGCGTTTCTTATTGGTTGAAATGTGTAGAAACCAGAGTAACAATCAGGTTTCTATGCATTTTAACCAATGAGAAACGTGCTGACTAGTCAGGGATTCTTCTGAGAACAGACCTTTTGTCGTTCATCTTTCCGTCAAACCAATAATATTGAAATATGATCTGTCATTTTTGAAATTAACCAATAAAACTGATTAAAAACAACAAGAGATGACGCATAACGGATTTATATATAAACCCATCCATAGTAAACTTAAAAAATATTAGAAACTTTTTTTAGTAAAATAAATAGATTGGTATGGGATGTCACCTGCTTTTTTTCTGTCATCGTCTGTCGAAATCTTACCTGAGAAAAAAAACAGAGTATAGTTCTATGCGCGAATAGGGTATATTCCTATATACAGGGCTTCTAAATTTTGTATATTAAAAGAAACATGTACCGTAAAATGGGGTGAATAGAAACAGTTTCGTAGGCTATTAGCGATATACCGGTTGATAAAAATGTGGTATTATTTTCCCGAATATTTTAAAACATGGGTCTTTGTTTGTTCTTTGCGTATACATATAATTTGATTTTTGAAAAATATGCATATAAATATTAAATAAAAATAACATTTGTGTTTCTATCTGCTATTCAGGAGAATAGAAACACACATTGATGTTAATGTTTTTATCTATTCTACTTCCAACAAGGCGATTAGAAACAGTAAATTATTACATATTTAAGTAGGTTTAACAATAATTAATAATACATATAATATGACAACTTACATGTACCAGCTTATGTATCACTTTAAAAATAAATATTTTATTTATAAAGTTTTCGCGCCATACAAAATAGGTGATAAATCGATCTCACATTTATTGATCAGCTGATTGACAGAAACAGTGCTGCCACAGATAAAAATATAGTTTTTACATTTTATTGTGTATTACCAATGATAGAAAAATTAGATATGTCGACTCTTTTTACTTTGAATATTTTTAATCGTGATTTGATTTTTTTCAGAAATTTTGTTTCTATTCACCACTATGTTTCTATTCACCCCATTTTACGGTATGAGTTCAAAATTTGCGATCTCAAACTTAATTACAACGTTTAGTACTAAATATTAAACCGGTATTAACGCTGATTACCCTAATTAAAGTCATTATACCGATATTTTAAACCAGCAGATTTGTAGAACGGAATAAATAGTTTTACTTTATAGTAGGGGAGCACAAGCGCGGGGATTTTGGGATTTACTCTAGCGCGGCAGAATATCATAAAGGAAGAAACCTTATAGGTAGCAGAAAAACTTGGTGTGAAAATTCGAGCACGTCAGATTAAGGCAAGTGGAGTTAATTACAATCAGAAAAATGTGCATTTAAATAATACCTTTTACGATTTAAGCGTGACATAAGGAAATGATGAAGTCGCAATGTTGCATTCAAACAGCACGGGAATAACATAATCTGCCGATTTCCAGAAGCCAAAGTAGCCAAAATCATAAACGAAGTGTGTTGCTAAGAATTATGTATTTCTAAAAATCTGCCATGACTTTTGGTCGCGTTCAAATCATAGGAGCTTAACATTCCTTTTGAATAACTAACGCACTCGAATCATTTTTTTCTTTTCTCATTTTTTACCCCTCTGTACAGCTATCCCTCCGTTATCAGAAATACGCGAGGCGCATGTACTATTAATATCTGACACGCCCAAGTATTTCTTTGTGACTGTTCTTTTACATTTTTGAAAACCTCTCTGTACACCATCCCTCACTAGTAAGAGCATATAGCTTTGAGTTGCATAAAGCGGGAATTGTTAGACTTAGACTGGGCAGACTATTTTAACTCGAATGACATTGAGTTTTTGTCAAAATTTTTAGTAATAAATGTTCAAATTTTAATAAATAAACACTTACCCTTGAAAACGGTTAGGAATAGGAATAATAATCCTCCTGTTCGCTGGTATAATAGTGAGCTCAAAGAAAAAAGAAGGCAAATGCAAGTTGTAAAATGCATTGCTGACGGATTAAATAGTGTAGAGTATAGCGCCTACTACCGGTTACTGCAGGGAGATTATAAAAATTCTATCATTATCGCAAAAAAGAATGCCTACAGTAATTATGTAAATTCATCAAAATCGAAAGCAAAAAGTGCCTGGAAAATTATCAACCTCGAGAGAAATCATCAGGCAAGATCGAGAAACAACTCTGATATAAAAGCTGGGGAATTCAACGAGTATTTTCTTGAAATAGCATCTAAAATTGTAAGCGAATTGTCCATTGATCAAAATATTCAGAACGAATTGATTGGAAATATATTAATGAACAACAGCACTTTTGTTTTTTTGCCAATAGACGGGCGAGAGATATGGAATGCTGTTAATGCGCTGAAAGATTCGCTTCATATGATATTTATGATATAAGTAGCAATATTTTGAAAAGCATTTCAAATGAAATTATCCAGCCTATGGTTCATCTTTTAACATTTGTGTTGAAAAGGGCAATTTTCCCAATCTTTTAAATTATCTAGAGTGGTTCCAATTTTCAAAAAGGAGACGAGGATTCAGTGTCGGACTATCGCCCCATATCGATTGTTCCTTGCTTTTTGGCAAAATATTTGAAAAATTATTATTAAGTTAGATTAATGGATTTTTCGAGAGAAACGATTTGCTCGACTTTTCACAGTTCGGCTTCCCGGAGGGGCGATCTGCGGTTCAGGCTGTTGGTAGTGTTGTGTCGGACATAGTCGAGGGCTTTGAAAAGGGAGAGCTGGTAAATCTAATGCTATGCGATCTCACTAAGGCGTTCGACTGTGTATCGCATGCGATCCTGATTGACAAGTTGTAGAGATATGGTGTTAGAGGTGTTGGACTGCAATTGCTTAAGTCATATCTCGACGGACGTAGACAGTGCGTGGACTTTGGCAATGCGGTTTCTGAAGTAGGTTTGATGGAGAGTGGTGTGCCACAGGGATCTGTACTGGGACCACTGCTCTTTATTATTTATATTAATGACCTTTTTAATTACCTTCTACCAAATAAGTGTCGAGCGTTTGCGGATGACAGTTCAATGTCTTGTAGAAATAAAAATATGGATCTGCTAGTGACTGAAAGCGAAAGGTTGATGAAACGTGCGGAGACTTGGTTCACACATAATTGCCTGAAACTGAATCGCGATAAAACGCAAAACATATTTTTTTCCTCCAGATGGTCTAAGGATTTAGAAATGAATAGTGCTAAACTATTGGGTATTACACTGGATAGTACACTCAGTTGGGTACCACATATTGAAAATCTTAAACGCAGACTTTCGTCGGTGGTATACTTGATGCGTAAACTTAAAGCGTTAATCTGCCAGGAGTCTTTGTTGAATTCGTACTATGCCACAGACTATGCCTTGTTTCATTCCCATATGTCCTATGGAGTGGCTTTGTGGGGGAACTCGACAAATTCTATTGAAATATTTCGGTTGCAAAAAAGGGTAATTATTAGAATATTATGTGGTGTTGGCTATCGAGATACATGTAAGCCCCACTTTATTAGACTGAATATACTTACACTGCCTGCTCTGTATATATTAAATCAACTTTTGGAAGTACATAAAACTAAATCTTATCTGACAGTTAACTCTGACTGTCATAATTATGGACAAGATCTGCCAATCTAATACGAACCAATTTCTATAGACTGGATAAATCAGCTAGAAACTCTCTACGCATTGATTTATACAACCGTCTTCCAATGGAATTAAAAACTCTATGTTTTAATAAATTTAAATATCAGCTTAAGACATTTTTAGGGAAATCTGGAATTTATAGCGTGGATGAGTTTATAGAGCAGGTAGATGGGAACTTAGAGATGGGATTTAATTTGATTTATTTGTACAAAGATTCTTAAATTGTTTTTTGTCTTGTATGTATTTAATGTAACACAATTTGCCTCCGTGTATTGTTTTTTTTCTAACTTTTAGTATTTTTATGAATTCTTATCTGTTTGTTATTTACTCTGACCTGCTACAATTATACATTGTATAAATACGTAGTCAATAAAGATTTATTTATTTATTATTATTTATTTATTTATATATTATAACCTTCTTTTCTTTTATCAATTTTTCACAATCCAATAAATCCCTACGACGCGACGCTTGAGTAAATCCCCATTTAGAGCATATTAAGCTCCCCTACTATTAAGCAACTGGTCTAAGCACTAAATAGGAAAGAAAAAATATTCTTGTTATAACAT